AAGTTGTTGTGTTTGAGTATTTGTTTCTAGTCCGCAGTATTTTCGAACGGCAATGCTGCGTCGAGCACTTTCCGGCGGAGCTGTGAGGTTGTCTGCTGCTGCCGCCGCATCTGCTGTGGAGCCATTGAAGAGGACTGCGCTGTAGGGACGACTCCTTGGTCATCAGTAGGGCTATGCGAAGGCAGGTACGACTTCCATATGGCCCAGGGTGGGAAGATGGTGGACTTCGCCGGGTGGAGCATGCCTGTCCAATATAAGGATACTGGCATCATTACTAGCTGCCTCCACACAAGGTGGTGGTGGTAGTAGCAGTAAGGCTTATACCATCGTTTCCAGGGCGGATGCCTCCCTGTTCGACGTCTCCCATATGGGCCAGCTACGAGTATATGGCAAGGATAGGGTCCGCTTTATGGAGTCCTTAACAGTAGGAGACCTGCAGATACTTAAACCAGGGGAAGGTGAGGTTCACCGCATAATCCTGCTGCTGCTAAGGGTTTACCGCGCGCCATAAAATTCATCTCGTCAGGGAGGCTCACGCTGATCACAACACCTCAGTCTACCATAATTGACGACACGGTTATATGCAACGAAGGGGATCATCTCTATGTGGTACTTAATGCCAGTAATACCGAGAAGGATATGAAGCATATTGTAAGCAGAGGAGGTCACTCCCTCACTGCTATGCTTGTTGTTGCACCAGGAGACCGCCTTGGCAGACTTCGATGGTGATGTTAGTCTTGAACCACATCCCGAGGCCTCCCTCATAGCCCTACAGGGCCCTAAGGCGATGGAAGTGCTCCAGCCCATGCTAGCTGAGGACCTCACAAAGGTAACATTCGAGTTTTACTTGTTTTACTGGAAGTGGCGAAATACTTCATGTGAAAAATGTGATATTCGCGATATGAAGTGGATTGGAAACACTTCGCGAATTACATCGGACAAATCACCCCATCGCACGTGGAATACATCACGTGTTTTACGCGTTATTCACTGCTTACACGCGTTCTTCGCAAAGTTTTTCATATCACGGGTGAGATCCAGTTGCCCTGTCTCTATATATCATTGTAGGTGCCGTTTATGGTATCTTTCGCCACTACAGTGAATGGTGTACCCAACGTCACAGTCACCCGATGTGGGTATACTGGAGAGGACGGCTTCGAGTTGTCTATTCCGACCTCAGAGGGAGTCAATGCTATAGCGGAGAAAATGATAGAGAACGAGGTCACATAGTGGCCTTATGGGGAGTTGTTCATAGAAGTCTCCGTCAGGCAGTCCTCCCAGCAGGGTTAGGAGCTAGGGATACCCTCCGTATTGAAGCGGGTCTATGTCTGTATGGCCATGACATTTCGGAAACTACTACCAGTGAGGACTCAATCAGGCAGGGCTTGCTGGTGAGGGAACCGTCGTGTTAGTCGCTGAGGCAGCATTGTCCTGGACGGTGTCGAAGCGCCGTCGCAATGAAGCAAACTTCCCGGGGGTTGAGGTGTTCTTGAGGCAAGTGAAGAAAGGTAACTTAGACGGGAGTCGCTTAGGCAATATGCAGAGGCCTCGGTGGTAGGTGGAGTAGATCGCAAACGAGTGGGGTTACTGGTAACAGGCCCACCTGCTAGAGAGGGCAGTACGATACTGGATACTGATAGCAACAAGGTATGTCCCAAGGCGTGGGTTGATGTGAGGAGCTTTCATCCGTATCAGATAGGAGAAGTTACTTCGGGAACCTTCAGCCCAACTCTAGGTCGTCCGATCGCTATGGGGTATGTCCAAACTGCATTCAGTAAGAGTGATACGGTCGTACAGACTGAGGTTAGGAATAAGATCAACGAAGCGATAGTAGTGCCTCGAAGTGTCATATGCTTCTCCTATGGTGTCCGCATCAGATCACCAAGATGCCCTTTGTTGAGGCCAACTATTACAAGGTCTAACGTGGTCGCCGCCGCCGCCAGCGCTCCTCTTGTGATGGTTTATGGCAATTTTTCAAGGTCTCTTATAACCACTGTATCATCCTCCTTGTTTGGGTTGGTAGGAATTCGGTAGTGTATGGACTCCACCACAGTTTTTTCTGCCAATGTTATCCCGGTTATTCGGGGAGGATTCAACACAGGGAGATGGCCAGCACGGCCCACAACGCCACCCGCAGCAGTCCTCGCCAGCAGGGCCCCCTGGGGGAAGGGGTGGAGGCTTACAGCGATCCTCAGGTGAGGAAGGCGATAGGGGCATCTATCTCTTTACTAGTGGAGTACTCTCAGAATCGATCGAGTCGGCACAAGATTGGCGTAACGAAGAGCTGCAGGACATGCAAATGAAATTGGAATCAGCGATGGAACGGCTTAATAGAGGTTAGCGTGGAGGCGACTCCTGTGGTAAAATGGCGATGTTCAGAATCGACCTTGGCAGACCAGCTGAGGGCAGCCTTGTCGAATAAGGAAGGGGAGGCTGAGCAGCTGCAACAGACGGTGAAGATGCTCCAGGCGGTAGGCGTGGTCAGAGGGAGCGTTCTGTCTGATTGGGCTTGGATGCAGGAGAACAGCAGATTGAATAATAGCTCAACTGATGGTGACGGTGGTAGTGTTAAGAAGCTGAAGAATAGGATTGAAGAGCAAGAGGCTAAGGTGATAAGGGAGGTACACTAGCGGCTCCACGTTGTGTTCACCGTGGGTTGAGGGTATATAGTCGCGATATCGATTTGATAAGTATCGTATAGTAATGGCAAGAGGGCAGCCTTCAACAGTAGCGACTCAGAGTGGAGAGGCCGGGGAGAAGTTTATGTGTCAGATAACTGCCTTACAATCGGCACTACAGGAAGCCCATGCGGCTAAGAAAGCCTCGGTCAGTAGTGTTCAGCAGCAGGAAGAGTATCAGGGTCTTCGGGAGGAGCTGGGACGATTGCAGGAGAGTGTGGAGAGATACCAAGCTGAGCTGCAACGAAGGGAGGTAGGGGCGATGGTGATGGTGTAGCTGCTATCAATACTGGGAGTGTAGGTGGAGAATAGGGAGTTACAAGGGGAGTTGGCAGATGCCAAGCGAGCTGATGATGAACAACGTAATAACTAGTGTTGGTTTCGCGGGGGGTAGACATGTGGTTGTGGCTGCAGGCAGTGATTTGAGCAGCCGAGTTGAATCGGCGGAGAAGATCGTATCAGAGTTACGAGAAGAGTTGCAGCGAGCCCATGAAGATGAGGTGAAGTTGAGAGGAGAGTGGTATGGTTTATATAAATATCAGGCGGCCACTGTTGGGAAGTATGAGGCACGCATTGAGGAGTTGGAGAGGGCCAACTCTCCGAAACGGGGGGATGTAATAGGAGGCATCTCTTGCTGCTGGGGGACAGCTTCACGATACGTGTCAGGTGTCGTCGATGGCTTCGAGTTACGAGGTTGTGGACTTGGACCCTAACACGATGGAGCATCCAGGTGACACACAACTAGAGGAGGCCGCCAGGATGGCTGAGGAGGACAAGGTCAGTTGAGTGTTTGCTTCCTGGGACATGGATAGGTTTAGGCGGCTTTGCGAGCTGAGCTGGCAGAGCGAACGGCGAAAGTCGATGAGCTGCAGAACAGCGTGCATGACTTACAGGAGCATGTTGAAGATCTAACAGCACGGCTGAGAGGTAAATGGATCTTTTGTGTGTGGTTGAGTAGAATGGAAGGGGTGGTTTTCAGAAGCGGAGGCTGGTCGAGAGAGGAGCCTTCAAGAGCTGTCGGAGGCTACGCTCACGTTGAAGGATCAACAGAAGGGAGCTGAGGAGGGCAGAGCGAGAGCTGATGAGGAAGCGGTAGTTAACGGAGGTGGTTGCCGTTCCTGGTCTATGCTGGAGTTGTAGGAGTCCCTAAGGCGAGAGCTTGAGGCTAAGGAATTGACCTACAACAACCTACTACGACAGGTGGAGGAGATGAGAGAGCACATGGAGGAGCAAGCGAAGGAGCTTGTTGGTAGGTTGCCTTATCAGCAACCTGGACTAATGTCTACGCTTAGCCATGGCTACTGAGAAGGCTGCGGCAAGCATCAAGAGTGAAGAGGAAGTAGCTCATCTCAAGGAGCAACTACAACAGGCCATCGGTCGGTCCAATCTTGCCGACGGTCTGGTGAGGCCTTGTCTGTTATGCTTGGGCTGTGACTTGTCTTGTTTGTTCAGGAGGAAGAGTTGTCGGATGCCCAGATGGCCCTCACAGAGGCGCAGGATCGTGAGAGTGCTTTGGAAGAAGCGGCGGAGAAGGCTAAGAATGAGTCGGTGTTGATGGAGGTAGAAGTCGTGGAAGTTGATACTGGTCAGGTTAGCCCAAGCTAGTTCTGAACTCAATGAGCTCCGTGAGGAAGTCACTACGCTACAGGAGACTCTGGCTGCTTCTCGTCGTGAGGTAAGAGGAGGCGAGATCTAGTGTAGCACTATACCACTGTTATGACTAACAGCATGTACTGGATTGCGGCCAACAGGATTGCTTCAGAAACTGTACGGTCATTTCAGTACGCACCGTAATGAATGGACCGAGAGTTCGACTTAGCCAACCAAACTCGGAGTGTATACTTGCTATATGGATGCATTCATCGCGTTGAGAGAATATATGAATATTCGCCGTATTAGCCGAGAAATCAAATTTTCATGTATTTGCATAAGAACAAACCCACGCACAGTAATAGCTGCAATGTATATGTACATCGCTCTTCCGAACTCTGTGATTCGTATTCATCTCGATAGGTGATGGAATATAAAGAGTCACTGGAGAGTCTACAAGCCGATGCTGACAAGTTGAAGGAGGAGTTGTCGGAGGCTGAGGAGCAGAGGGAGGCGGAGAGGCTCAGAGCAGACCGGAGCGAACATGAAGTAGAGGAAACAGTAAGGGACTATGGGCGGGTCTATGGGTCGGAGGACTTCATGTCCTGTAGAAGAGGCAACTGGCGGAGTTGAAGGCCGGTGAGGCTTCGAAGGATGGAGAGATGGATGAGCTCAGAGCACGACTGGAGGAGATGCATGAGGAATTCGGAGTAGCCAGTGACAGCATGCGGTGTTGGAATCACATCTTCTGTATGGCAGAAAGCCCAAGATGACCTTTGCAGTGCTGAGTCGATGATTGAGGAATATGATCAGGAGAATCGAGCAAAGGTAGGATGATGGCATTTGTACTGCTAATACCATCTTGTGTAGAGCGAGCACATTATGAAGTTGACAGAGGCATTGGAAGCGAGAGACGACTTCATCAATCAAGTCACGGACTACAGGGACCTTCTAGTGAAGGACGTGGCAGTGCTGGTAGTGGAGCCTCCTGCTGTAACACAGTGAGTGCAGTACCCTCAGGGGGAAGAAGCAGAGAACCGTGCAACCTTGGCGGCGGAGTATTACAAGGAGATGAAGACTTTGGTACGTGGTGTGGGTCTCCTTGCCTAAGTCACTATGACGTCTTCAGCACAAGCAGTTGAGCGAAGCGCACGAGAAGGGTAGTGCACTCGCAAGGGCATGGCAGCAGTCGGGGGCCGACCGGCTCGCCGAGGTCAAGAATGTCGCTTCCAAGGCGGCCGCATCGCTCAAGGAGAAAGTGAGCTACCCTTGTGGGAGTACGACTAGCAGTGATGGGTTTAGGACGAGCTGATCGCAGAGATAAAGGGGCAGTACCACAAGCTGGCTGATAAGTACACGCAGTTGGCTGAGAAGCGACAGAGAGAGATCGACGATGGGAAGGTGAGGATATTGCTGATCTCATCTAAGGTATGGATTCCGAGCCATACTGCCGTTATAGGCTCGGTTGGAGAGGGCTAGCGAGGCCAATGAGGAGAAGCTGTCGTCAGTGATAGGAAGAGCACAGGCAGTCTTGAAGTCGGTTGAGGATGATAACGCTGCCGCGACCAGCCGCACTGAGGTAGGTTTTTTCCTATTCTGTAGTGGTGATGTCCGTGACGTCAGGCGTACATCAACTCCATCATGTCCTTGAACGATCGTCTCATGGCGACTCTGAAGAGCTCTTCCAAGCAGTCAGAGGTGACGAGTCCCTCCTGCGGAGTGATGATAGGATTGTATTTCACTCAGGGAGAGATGGCCAAGATAGTCACCATGCTACAGACCGAACGGAGGAAGAGACGCAGTGCTGAGGAGGCGCTGGAGAAGGTGGGGATGACATTAGATGAGCTCTCATTGATAGCATGTGGATGGCAGGTGTCATCCGAATCAGCTGGGCAGGAGCCATCAGCAGCTGCTAGTCGTAGGCTGGCTGTTCATCTGGCTCGTCACGTTCAGGATCTCACTGCAGTAGGCATTGCCTTCACAGTTGCTGTTATGTTCAGTGTTGGAATATGTGTTTGCTATCCCCAGCAGCTGAGCTCTTCATTTTCCTCGCTTGTTATAGAACTTTACGTACAAACTCGGGTAGAAGTGTTCAGGAGCGAACACTAATTTCTTTTCAAAATTTCCTCGGAATTTTCATATTGTCACCCACACATGGTGTATATTTTCCCACACTTGTTATTTTTAGACTATCAAGGAATTGAGGGAGAAACAGGGAGAGGAAAAGCCCTCGACTGCGTCTATTGAAAGCAGTGGGGAGAACTCGGATGGTAAATCTTTGATAAGGCCACGAGATGGACGTCCAACTGTGTGTTCTCAGAATCACTCGAGTCGTTGCAAAGAGAATCATCTCGGCTGCGTCGCGCGATGCCGGACTATCGCTCTTCCGATCTCTCCAAGTGCATGGTATCCTTATCCTCCTTGAAGGCTGACATAACTACTACAGTGAGTTGCTCGGAGCTCTGGTGTCGATCGAGTCTGCTGTTATTTAGGAGGACGAGTACGCCGAGGATATTGTCGATGATCTCGACGAGGACTTCTCTCCTTCTCACATTATCGACCCTCTGCCTTCCACCCCGACCGCTGATGACGTGGACTCCCTGGCCGGCCTAGTCAGCGATGAGACTTCTGTAGCTCCGGTTGACTGCAGTGCTGCCATAGAGTACTTCCAAGACTGGATGGAAACGTCCATCCCCGAGTCCCCACGGTTCAAGGATGTGGACCTCGAGCATACTGTCAAGGCTGATGTCCCGAATCAGGAAGATCTGCCCAGCATTCCCACCCTAGCCCTAGTCAGGCCAGATATCCTTCGTAGTGAAACTGATGGTTGGAGCACCCAAGTTGCCCCGAGCGTAATTGGTGGCCATCCCGAATCTACTATAGGAGAAGTTCCCCCGCCCAACAGAGTGGATGAAGCCTCGTCTGATCGATGGGATAACTTCGCTGCTAATGCCGGGGACGGCAGTCAGGTGCCGCCATCATCCTCATCGGCCAGCAGCTGCCATGGAGACGCTTGGTCAACTGAGCGGCAAGGATCGATAGCAACAACGACTGAAGTAGCGGCAGCATCAAGTCAACCAGAGGCGACTAGAGACATGGAAGGCGTCGATGGTGGCACTGGTGGGGCCCGGCAAGAGCACGCGTTGGCGATTGCCTCTACTGGCTCTGAGGGCGTGGACTTCATTGGATCCTCGTTGTCGGGAGGAGAGTCTGAGTTGGAGCCTGAGAGGCTTCAAGAGGAATCCCTGTCTGAACGAACCCGGGACAGCCACCCGGAAGCGACCCAGAGCGATACTGATGTTGGTCATACCCCAACAGAAGACGTTCGCCATCAATCTCGAGATACGGACGATTGGCTCATTGGGGAGGAAACAACGGCAGCTACTCGTCAACCGGAGAGCACTGTGGATGTGAGCCCAGGTTCGTCACGGTTGCAGCAGGATGAGGAAGATGGTGTAGCGTCTCCTGAAGAGGGTCGTCCTGGAGGGGCTGCTGACCTATGGGCTCGAGAAGCCCCCAGCAAGACACCGGAGATCGTTGCAGCAGTGCCCGAGGAGGAGATGGTTGATGTCGAGGATATGCCTGAGGATGGTGTGGCTTCGCACGGAGTTGAAGACCTGCAACCACGTGCATCCTCTGTTGCCACTCCGACAGGGCATGCCTCGATGAGTGGCGTCCCAGTAGGGTCAACAATCGCATCACCGGGACATGACGAGGTTGTTCTTGCCGGTGGAGTTCCCGCGGATGATGACCACGCGGCCCTTGTTGCAGATGACGGCCACGATGATGTTGATATTGACGGTGACGGTCGCGGCGGCGTTAACGTGGACAACGACAACACAGTTTTTGTGGCAAGTGCCGGCCACGATGATGTTGTTACCGCGCCTGGCAGTCGCGATGATGTTGTTACCGCGCCTGGCAGTCGCGATGATGTTGTTACCGCGCCTGGCAGTCGCGATGATGTTGTTACCGCGCCTGGCAGTCGCGATGATGTTGTTACCGCGCCTGGCAGTCGCGATGATGTTGTTACCGCGCCTGGCAGTCGCGATGATGTTGTTACCGCGCCTGGCAGTCACGATGATGTTGTTACCGCGCCTGGTAGTCACGATGGTGTTGTTACCGCGCCTGATGGCCACGATGATGTTGTTACCGCGCCTGATGGCCGCGATGATGTTGTTACCGCGCCTGATGGCCGCGATGATGTTGTTACCGCGCCTGGCAGTCGCGATGATGTTGTTACCGCGCCTGGCAGTCACGATGATGTTGTTACCGCGCTTGGCAGTCACGATGATGTTGTTACCGCGGCCGACGGCCACGACGCGGCTGTCGCTGCGGTCGAGCTTCATCAGGATTCACCTGTAGAAGGAGACACTGTTGGCTCTGAGCTTGTCGACGAAGACAGAGCGCATCTACACGAAGAGAGAACAGCTGCGAGTCCGGCGAGTGATATCGAGTCGAACATCCCCGCTAATTACTCGATCGCGACTCTGGACGAAGACCCAGTGGTAACGCAAAGTAGCCTTGGCTGTTCCCCAACTCCTTGGGATTCCCCCAAGCATGAGCAGACGGCGGCGCTCATGTCCAAGGGGTCTTTAGATCTCGAGGGCGGTAACGGAGGTGCTGATCAAGGTGGTGCAACGCCTTGGGATGACAGTCGTGATGGTGCTGATGTTGATGATTTTTGGGGTGCATGGGAAGATGCCGAGCCTCATGCGAATCAGCAAGAGCAGCGAGCTGGAGTGGTCTCTGTTCCTCAAGAGAAGGTCGTGGAATCTCACGATACAGTGATTGCTCCCGATGAAGAACAAGCCCCGTTGAACGAGGGTAGCGTTGCTCCTTCCCCGCAGGGAAGTGCCAAACCTGTTCCACTGAGTGAGCATCAAGAGTTGGGATCTCCTGTTGGAGTGGCAGAGCCGAGCAATCTTTGGGATGACACTGAAGTTGATAGTTTGGCGATGGATGGTTGGGACGACCATGTTCAGAGTCCGGCACATATTGGGCCTTTTGCTGCTACTTCTGGTACGGCTGTGCAGAGCGCTTCAGATTCCCTGTGGGATCACCCTGCCAATGCTTCTGTGGAGTCGGGTATTGTAAGTCCTGACGCCGGTTGGGGGCTCGACCAGGATAGCCCACGGGTGGTGTCTTCGGCTGTCACGGGAGAACAGCAGGTGCCTCAACATCTGCCTACCACCCCCACACAGCCTGCTACACATGTGCCCGTAAGCGGTAGGGAGCAGGAGACCGATGTCAAGAAGACACCTAGTAAGGAGCCCTTGGATGATGATTTTTGGGATCTCTTGAATTCGGCGTAGTTCCTTGATTACAATTGAACATTTCGTTTCACCGCTTGAGTTTACCATCCGCAACGCGTGTTCATTTTTCGGGAGAAATTATGTTGCGTTGACTGAGGGATCTTCAGTGTAAGTGAAGTTGCCAAACCGTTGGAAGCTCACACAAGTTGATGTGTAGAGGTTAACTCTAGCAGCTTATCGTCATTTTGCCGAAAACTACAAAAAATAGAAGAATTCTCACTGAAGCGGGACGAATCACCAACGCCCACCACAGCCTGTTCCGGGATGACCGAAAGCTGTCCACATTACTAGGTTTCACTGACAATACCACAATTGAGAATATGAAAGAAAAGAAGATTATCAAATCAGCTGAGCCATTTGCATATCTTCTCACTGCGAACTCCCGGATCAACGCGTAGCTGTATTCGTAACGAAGTCTGCAATCGCGTTCAGCAACCGATCTAGTTCTCCTGGAGCACATATGTCCAGTGAGTGATTCCCGTCAACCTCCAGTAACGTCGCATTCATCGCAACCGCTAGGCGACTGTTAACGCTCGGAAGGGAATGGTCAACGTACCTAAACACAAGGAGCCCCTCTGGTGATGCTGAATCAGTCATGAGGAGTACTCGTCATCCAAGCCTTGGACCAACATGACAGGAGGACCCTCGGCCATATGACCCACGGCGTCCTCGAGCTCATCGTCGCTCAAGTCACGACTGAACATATCATCTGGGCCACCCTCTCGACAGAATAGGGATGCGAATCGTGATGCATTGATCGGGTGGCCAGAGGTGAACATCGAGGCCTCAGGAGGCATGAGCTGCCGGGGCTCCTTCTGGAGGAGTGACTGAGGGCTCAAGTTGCGAGCAACGAAGTATCACTGATGCGACCTACCATCGCCAGGGTGCGCATTCTGAGGAGGTTCTCTTGCTCCTCCTCGGATTCTTTCACGGCAAAGTCCACTGCATCACGGTCCGATACAGCGCCTTGTAGGATACATCCCCGGATTTGTGGTAGGCTGTGATTCTGAGGAGAGACAGAATTGGCTCCCTCAATCGCACTCATGGCTGACCTCTGGCGGGAGCGACTTCATGAAGTACACTACGTCTTGGCACCCTGTACTGTGCCCTAGTAGGAACACATGGTCTATTCCACCTGATAACAGCTAGATGATAGGAGTGTCCAATAGGATAAGACCGAGTAAGCTTACGATGCTGTTTGAGGAAGGCTAAGGCACGAGTCATGTCCTCCACGTCCGAGTCTAGGGAGGAGTAACCGTACCCACTGTATGACGAATGCATCAACACCTGTGATGAGAACTCGACAAGAGACCTAAGCAAACGGTTACCTGGAATACTCTGAGGCCTCTCCTCGCTAGCATAGCTGGATAGTAGGGTCTTAAAAACCCATCAGTGAGGCCCGCCATGAACAGGAGCCCTGTGGTTGGAGCTTCCCCTTCGACCGGCCGATCGAACTCGAACAGTGTGAGGTTATCTTCCTCGTTGTAGACAAACAGTTCTCCCTTAGCTGAGACGGCGGTCATTTACAAATCTCGATCAACGAAAATGAACACGATTTTCAAGATTCTACGATCCTTCTGGTCCAGAAGTTCTGATTAGCTCCCTAAGCGATCGGAGTCGTGAAATGCATGCCGACGGTCGGCCAGTATAATCCAATTGAACATCCCTGATGGTGTCTGATTAATCAGCGCTCAGCTCTTCTCGTTATGAGCACGTATACAGCAGCCAATACCCCGATACGTGGTGAGCCACCACTGGTGACACATAACTATAGGGGGCGCAACGGGCCTTGCTGAGTATGTCAGCACACAAACTGGACCTTGGAGAAGTAGTCACTTCGCCAACCCGCTAACCAGAATCTCCTCTCGTGGTGTTCTCGATTATGTGATACCCGATGTCCCACTAGTGTAACACAATAGGAAAGGACTAGAAACAGAAGTACTCGGAATCAGTTTAAATAAAGGTAGATTTGTTTTTGGATGTTGGAGTTTATTTGTCGTAAGGACAGCAGCAGGATTTCAATAGCTTCGACCGGAGCACAATGCCATCGAGACCAACTCACCCAACCTGCATGATCCGCGACCTACTCACGCCACCGGCGCGAGAGAAGTGAGTACGGGCCCAATGGCAGTCCCGATGGGGTTTCAAGAATAGAGTGGTACAGCGATCAACTAATGGCTACAAAATGAGCCAATGACGGACGATAAATGAGAGGGACGAAAGCATCCTTCTGGGAATCTCGAAGAGTCTCCGATACATCCGTGGACGGAATTATCGCTGGTAATAAAGAATCACACACCACCATCAAGAACGGTCCATGGCCACTGAAGCTGCAGGACCTACCAGCACGGCATGACTCCTCCACCCAAACAGAGAAGGGATGCCGCGTATCATCTAGTGACAGTAACAGAGCCTTTAGAACAGTGCTCAGCAACAACAATAGGCTGCATAAGCTATCGAGTCCTTCGGTTTACTTGGTATTATATAGTAGTTGAGCTACACTTACCATCACCTCCCTCCCCTCTCCAGAGGCAAGAATAGCGACTGTATTATGGGGTAGTACAAAGCAGATACGACTAAAGACTGAACGTAGTAGGATTAGTGAAGAGCAACACTCGAGCCCTCCGAGACCAGAGTGAATGAACTTAACAGAGATCCGAACAACAGCCGGATCCCATTCAGGTTTGCTTGGACTTTTCACAAACGGTAATACAAAGTTCACGAACCGAGTGAGAAATCAAAGCCAACAGTCGGAGTGTTTAGGTGTTATCGAACCGACTCTATAGCAAGAAGCTTAAAATGCTACTAACAATGGAGCCATTACACTGCAATGATAGCGATCGCGACATGAGCAGAACAATCAAGCCTGATAGTGGAAGAGAGAGAAAATAGAGGCTAGTGAGCACCACTCATACAAGAAGTAGGAGCAACGAAAAGCAGAAGGACTAATAAGTAGTACGAGCGCCAAAAACGCCATCCTGGTACTACTGCAATGACTGTGAGTTCAGTCTTTTCATATAATGACGGTCTACTGTCAATGACCACCCGAATTCACGGCACACGCGACGATGCTGGTACATTGACATCAATCAGTAGTAGAGACTAGAATCAAGTACTTCTCGATAATATTCTTTACGCGGTTATATCATGGAGCTCATGTAAGGTAAAGAACGATGATGAGCAGCCTGCTCAGAGCAGGAGCAAATAAGAGTATTGAGACTTGGGTAGATGACAGCATGCCTGTTAGAGGCAATGAGGAGTGATGAAAATGTAGCAGCGATGATGATACCACACATAGACTGTTCAGTGTAGTACTCTTCAGTGAAATCTTCCCATAAAGTCAACAACGAGGTCGAAGAGACGACGGAGAGTCGACAAAGCACATGAACAGAAGAAACCACGGCAAGTGGTGGGCTAGTCGAAGCGACATACTTTTATACTAACAATGAGAGCTACATCTCCTAGCATTTCCCAGCATGCTATGATCACCATCCCGCGGAACGCCATAGATGGCGGCAGATGGAAAGTGGGGATCCGCGAGAGTGAAGCCATCCCACGATGCCGCCGCCGTATTCGAGTCGTATAAGGAGAAACCACCGAGCATGCCAACGGTCGCCGAGTGCGTGTCGGAGAATGTCGACTGCTGGTTGTTTGTCGCGAGTAAGGTCTGATGAAAAACAGCCGTGTGTGAGACGATCGAAAGACATCCCTCGAATTCCCTACCTCAACGGCTTGTAGCAAATTGGGCTCGCTTCGATCAGCCTCCTGGTTCACCCAGCCACTAGCAGCTGCCAGTGAGACTCCTTGCTCGAGAGATATAGTAGGAAGTTGCTGATCGTGATGACGCTGCTCCGGGCGACGAGACAATCGATAGTAGGGAAGACGATGGAGACATTGTAGATGCCATATTGGTGAGCAGCATATCACTCTAAGTGCTCAGTAAGGGGCTCGACTGACTCGTAGCAGCATGGGCAAACAGACTACACGGCACAGACTGCACCGTAGGTGGGGCTTTCCATATAGGCATAGCCCTAGAGCCTAGAGGAGTTGCTACCGGACTGGAGATACGGTTACTGTTGTTGTTATGTTGAAGGCTTGCCGCAGGCGGCAGGTGCCTCATCTGAAGGCAGCCGAATCCCGAGAGGCCACGGCTACTTCTACTCACCTCCTGCTGATGTTGACTGAGCTGATTTTGACGTGACAATTCGAGGGCCCCAGCCGATATTGACTCTTAAGCCTGGGTCTTTTTATGGGATATCTTACAGTTGGAGTATATACGTAACACAAAGGAGATAATAATTTCTACAGAGTTCCTCTTCGCCGCTTTGGCCGAGTGGTACGACGCGTGGCACTCATCCGAACGACCCAAGATCTATTCCCAGGCTGCGGTATTTGGATAAACTGTGCCGTTTGAGATTTAGGGGATATCAATATGTACTTCTACTACTTACAAAGACGTCTCTTATTCAGTTTCAATTTGCACCTCTTCTCAATTGGTAAATGGCGTTCTCCCTTATGCATCTGATAGAGTCCGGGCTACTGGTGGCCAATGCAGGGGCCATACTTAACGAACGGAGAGTTCTTCGTAAATGTACTATTCTCTAGGGAACTGGCGAATCGTATATGAGCGATTTTGGTAGTCAAGCGAAGGAACACGAACTGGACTCGCTCACTCGGTATGCCTTCTGTGTATGCGTTTAGTGTTTGCGATGGAGTATTATTCAACGCATAATGTATCTACCTACAGCATCAGCAATGACGTCCTTGTAGTACAATTTTAGAAGTGATCGTATGTCGGAGCTCGCTACTGTCATTTGAATCGACACTCTACGCGGTTAGTTTTTCCCATTGTGTGATAGAGGAGTGCCACTGTGTATTGAACAGATAACCTGGATAAGCCTGGTTTCGACAATGGCGTCAAAGGGCAGCTGTCGACCCTCCTATACAGTGTGCGGACTTTCGGCAGGTGTAATGACGCGGCGATCTCCCACTATGCTGGTAGTGGCTTTGAATGTGCAATCCTCTTCAGACCCGATAGTGATAATGAACCTCCTCGTTATCCTGTATGAGCTCATCTTTGGTTAAGAAGAGGCAACCCTGTACAGTTACAACTGTTTCAACTATCTGATCAGCTTGGGTGTGTAGTTGCCCAACCTGGGGCTGGGGGGCAGGTCGAACATTGGTAGTTGATCACTAGAGGATGCTGCCCATACGAGGGCTCATGCGTCGATCGGTGTGGCGGATGCAGGGGGTTATCGGTTACGAAGGCCTCTTCTCACAGTACCGCTTCGATCAGCTAGACATACACCCAAAGCTACTCTCAGCGTTGAGGGTCATGGGTATTGATACAGCCACTGAGGTGGGCCTTTATCGCGTGGAAATGTATTATGAATCCTCGGTGCAGATTCAAGCGAGGGCCTTCGTCCCCTTATCAATGGGCAGGGATCTCATTATAAACGCCGAGACTGGTAGTGGGAAGACGCTTAGCTACCTGCTGCCCATCTTCAACCGGATGTGATGCCCTTCCGGTCACCCACTCTGACTCGTCCCCTTAGTTACTTCCTTACTGATGCCCCCGATGAAGGGAAGGTCGGTGGTGGTAGTCGGCGACACAAGGCAGTCCTGCCTCCACCCACAGTCATAATATGCCCGACTTATGACCTCTGTGCCCAGGTAGGGTCTGTGGGCCACCCCTGCCTAACGATCTCGACAGGTTCTGAGTATGTGTAAAACACTGGACTCGGTGGGGCGACGGGTTCAACTACAGAGTCTTGTCAAGGTCCCTCAATTCTACCCAATTACCTTCACCAACACCACCCGGAGGAAGAGTGGGTCCTCTCTTACCATTGCACACGTTACCCTTCCCTTAAGGTGTACCACAGACCCCAACGCCAGGCTCGGCTGCGCAGCCTTTCGATGATACCTATCTGGGAGGAGACAGTGTGATTCACGAGGAAAGACCCGAGCATTTACCTCAGGCTACTGCGGGACTCCATGAACACTATTGGTCCCCTCGAATACGGTGGGTGTACCTCCTCACGCTGGCTGTCCATCCCAGGCCTCAGGTGGGGGGCTGTTGACATCGTAGTCACTACCCCTCATCATTTCGTAGCCGACTTGGATCGATGTGCTGAGACTGGTAGCTCGGCTAACCAGCTCCATCCAGCTGCGGTCATCTTCGACGAGGCCGACATGATATTCCACGAGATGAGGTCATTGATGGTGATGGAGGCTGGTGCCCTTTAGATTCGTGCAGGTCTCAAGTATACGACATAGTGCGCCATCTTCGCCCGAGACTGGAGATACCACAGCCTGGGCAGGCGTCGGCAGTGAAGAAGCGGAAGAAGCTTCTACCCTGTCAGTTCGTATTCGCTAGTGCCTCGATGCCTACAGGAGGGCCCAACAGGTCGGGTTGCCGGCAATGCTAGAGCCGAGATATGACTCGATTTCTTCAGTGTGGCGGCTATGGTCAGTCAGCGATTTTGTACTGCCGAGTTGATCACCACAGCGTTCGCTCATTCAATTCCCCCTACCATGAGAGTTGAATGGTTCAAAGCCTCTCCTGTGTGGGATCAGCGATGTGCAGAGCTCGCTGAGATACTCAAGGTTCGACACGTACCGTCTCTGCCTCCATCGACTTCATCAGGCATACTTCCCAGCGTCTCAACCGGCTAGAGTTCTCGTATTCGTAAATTCGTCTCTCAACTGTAACGCGCTGTATCACTACCTTCGGGTGAGCTAATCGTTGGACCTAGGGGGGAGGATGGGCTCTTGTGTAGGACCTGGGATGGCCAGTAGTGCGGTTCAGTGCTAGTCGTGGGGCTAAGTTGATGTTGCGTCTGGCGAGAGATGCTGACCAGTTCTGCTCGGCCTCCGCCTACCACGACCCTTCATCGATCAAATGGGATGGTAAGGTGGATAAGGAGAAGGAGCTCACTCCAGTAGAGGCAGACGCCTTGGCTAAGAAGAGGAAACACTATGGTGGTAGGAATAGGCGATCGGTTCAGTTGAGACTATCCTCATCTCTCGGTCGTAGCTTTGATGCAGTCGCCACTACGTGTGATGGTCTGCACTGATCACGCGGCGAGAGGCTTCGACTGGCCTCAAGTGGATGCTGTCATTCATTTCCAAATGCCTCTTGATGCGGTGGGTCGTCGTCAGCTATGGAGCGCCAACACACTACACTTGACAGGTTAAGTTCCTGCATAGGAGTGGGAGAGGAGGTCGGTTGGGACGACCTTGTCGGATAATCACCCTCGTCGGGGAGAAGGACGAAACTCTAGCAACAGAGATACAACAGCAGAGTGAGTCGCCCATAATCACCGCGGGTTCAGCTGGCGCTCCTCAGTTGATAAAGGGAGGAGTTTAGAGAAGGTCTTCAGTCGAAAGCAGTCTCTCCCACGCAGGCGACGCCGACGGGCTGAACTTCAACAATCAATTCAGCGGGTAGGACGGAGGGCAGTTCCAGACCCTGGCTAGCTCGGCCCTGTAGGAAACTCCATCTGTCGAGGACTCGGGTGATGAGTCCGGAAGTGAGGGCATGGAGCCTCTGGAAAAGCCGCAGGAGACCGAGGATAAGGGCACTCTGGTTGGTTATGTCAGCGTTTATGACTCGGATAGCGATGCGGATGCGGAAGATGATGTGCCAGAGACACTTGACGCGGCTGTGTCCCATGTGATCATGTTTTGTTGGAAGATCGCTGCCTACTGAGCATCTCACGTTTTTGTAGATACATGATAGGTCAACGACGGCTGGGTCATCGGATAACACGAATGTCCCCGCCTGGCGGGTTGGAAGCCGACGAACATTCCCCGAGACTCCAGCAGATAGTGATTCTGATGACGAGCCTAGTAGTTACACCTGGGCTCGCGTTAGACGAGACCCAATAGCTGCTGCGGCTGGGGAAACTGTGAGCCCTCGTCGTGAGGTAGTAGCTTTTCTCGCTGTGCCGGTCTCAACCTCCATATTTCGGCAGGTTATCGGAGTGGAATCTCAATCGGTCAGGGCTGGACGGCAACGGCGTCGTGATAAATTCAAACAAACAACTCTTATCAATGAATTCAGACGGAATGAGGATGAAGTGCTCAAGCTATAGCACTGAGCATGATCAGCGTTTCCGAAAAAAAAGAAGTTTCGGGTCTGTTGAAATCTCGAGTTGGATGTTGCGCTTCAGACAACTCTTCGTCCAGTGAGTAATACCATGTGAGCAAAATCATGTACACTAGAAGACTTCCATGACGCTCGCGATGATCGAAGACGCCACTAATTATTAATAGGGGGACTAGCTCAAATGGTAGAGCGCTCGCTTAGCAAGCGAGAGGCACCGGGATCGATGCCCGGGTTCTCCATTTTTCCTCTTTCAAGATTGAATCTATTTGTGCTCGAACGTCGATCATTGAGATTGTCCTAGTCATCATCCACTAGTCCGGTAAAATATCCTTTCATGTTTCGTTCCGAATTAACTTGCGTAATTCAACGTCAGACCTCAGGCGCAACGAAAAAATGTTTTATGATTATTTCGTTGTCTATCGCCTAGCGACCAATAAGAAGATCTTTATCGGCCGTACTTCTGGAACTCCCATTCGCCATTATCTGACAGTAAGTTGGAAATCACGGATTCAGATCCCAATTAGATAACTTCCTACCCAAAGGACAAACCTGTCTGGTCTTCAGCCACCTAGAAATGCAATGGAAATGGAAAGCGTGGTTGCAGACACCCCACGCAACCGTGCAATCCTGCAGATGAGTATGAATTGGGTCACATTGACTGAGACTAGCAGTAGCTCACCTCACTACTGTGAGAGCCCTGATTGGCCTGACACTCTATGCAGAGATCCATGATGTGATTACGACATATCGCACAGTTATCGACGACGATGTCCCACGCCCACAATGACACAGCATTCCACCTGAACTATACAAATGCCGCGACCGATTTAAGGCTCGACTCACTTTTTAATTTCAAATCTCTTCTCATCCGTAGAGCCGCTCGATCCTGCAGCAGCTACGGCACTCGATTCGGCCATTATCAACTCCACAAAACTGATCACTCTAACAAACCCGATAGGGCCATACGCAGAACGCAACCAAAGCTATATCGGCACGGGAAGCCTTCATGCACGTGTCTCAGTGCGGATGTAGGTCTCAGTGAGGGAGACCAACTCTTCCATGATCTGCTGATGTTCATCGGATTTGATCGCTTGTTGGTTGATACTGTGACTTCCGCGCTCCCCAAAAAACTTGTCTTCGTAATTCGCGAACTCGCAGTACCTGTAGGGCCTCCTCACTGAGTGAATGCCATCGAGCGGCGGCGGCGGCCTACTGGTCTGATATGTACTGCAAGACATTCCTCGACTCTAACATGTCGTCTGTCGACAACCCGTCTTGCTGATACACATACAAATGAGACTTGGCCTGGGGTAACGGACACTACGATAGGCACGACTACTCTTGGGGGCGCACCTTATACATGCTATCCCAGCAGGCTCCCAACCGATCCATAACCTCATACATAGATGTGTTATTGGATACCATCGTAGCGGAGTCCCCAGCCTCACAGTGCCCCACAGTACAGATAGAGGCCGATATAGAGTTGGGGATCCAATCCGGGAAGAATATATCCCATCTGTAACACACTGCTAAATGCCTCACATCGCGGTGTACCGTGATCCATCTCTTTGGAGAGCATGACAGATCTCGTCGACCTCTCCTGAGGGGCACTCCCCACGGAAGGCGGCAAAAGAGGCCAGGAAACGCGAGCGGGGTATGCCGTTACGAGGATCCCCTACATCGGTGCTCTACTGAGTACTACGAACCCTTTTGGATATTCACCAGGGTTGAGGGGATCACAGGACAGAGTCGCATTGTCCTTGCTCATCATCTGCTGCATCAAATCGAGTATCGACACCTTCCTGTATTCGGTGCAAGAAAATGCCGTCAGCGGCGCGAAGCCTGTGACAGAAAAAGAGAGGATTACTAATGACTGATGATGATAGCATACCAGTCATGAGGAAATGGGCGTTCTTGAAGGGCACGAGATTGGTATGCATCTTACGGAGGTCTGCGTCAAGAGTACCAGGGAATCGGAGGGAACTCTGCAATATCAACAGTGACAACAATACTCCATCTTGATACACAATTGCATACTCCCCAGACAGAGCAGAGAACACAGTTACAGATCAGAAGGCGTTACGTACCGTTATGCCGCTCATCGCAAGGGCGACTATGTTGTTCATATTAGAGAACCTCGGGACCTCCATATTGAGGGTCTTCTGGCAAATAGCCGATAAAGCCATGTTGTCGAAGAGGAATGCCTAAAGGAGGTAGGAAGAGACGGCATAGCATATGGGCCTAGTAACCTGATGACAGTAGTCCATCAGATCCTGCACACCGAGAGCCGCATTGTAGTACTCCAATACTCTATCGCCGACACTGAGTTGGATATCGACATGGACTAGAGACTAGGGGTAGGTCACTCAGGAGAAGGGACGGTGGCGAAGCTTTGCATGATGCATTTAACGCCGACTCCACTGTCGAGGAAGTCCGAGATGGTCTTCATACAGAGGCCTCCTAGACCTGACCAGGACCTCCAACCAAGAGGAGGAGGAAGAGGGGCACCTGCCCTACCAGCTCCCGTTCCACCACATAGAGACTGGACAAACTGCACACCTTGAAGACAGTCGCAGCTCTCCGCCTACAACAACGCCCCCTCTACATCAGCCAGTGGGGCACAGCAAACCTCCTTGCGAACCGTCTCAAGAACATGCTCAGCTAAGTCAGGTCCCTCTGTATGGAATGCTCGGGCGTAGCAGTTACCAGATCCCTATAGAGGCCGAGATACAACAAGGCTTTATGGTTGGTTGTCCACTACCTCATCATTAGCTATGATCCCCTCAGGACGATAGAGGGAGCCCAAACCATCGGAGCTGCCGATCACTTGTTGGAGGTCGGACAAGTTCAAGTCTACCAGTACAGTCCGAGGGACCTGAGCATTGGTGGTTACATATGGGATGCCCCGATGGGCCTACGTATCGGCCCTTGGAGCCCTCATTGAAGAACACCGAGATATGGTCTCTCCTGATCCCATCGACCTCCCCAGTATACGTACCTTATGGTTTGAGGCCTGATAAAGCACCGACATGGGTCCACTAACCTGAGCCGTCTCGATACTCGATGAGATGCTCTTCGCAAAGATCCCGCCAGAACTCATGTGCCATATTGTTGCCACAGCGGCCTAGTTGTAGAGTGATGATCTCCCTATTGGCCGGACCGTTCATCATCATCCGGATAGCCTACGAATCAGCCCACGAAAATGCTGCCACCACCGAGTGATAGCATGCTGCTACTCATGGGAAACACAAGTCCTATCGGAGGGAGACAACAGCAATACCCTACACATGCCTTACAGGCTGTGCACTATTGAATATTGGCGGCGTTCCTCCAGAACTCCTGAGGAGTCGATGATGAGCATTCATGTGGAGTATCTCGAGGACATGGTTGTCGGGCTCTTCACTGTGGAAGCATCGGCCCATACATATACATATCTACTCGATATGGACTTGGCAGCAAACACCTATGCAGAGGCTCTCTAATCCGGAACTCCATCGTTAAAAGCAGGGTAGCGTTCTGGGAGCAGGTAACACAACCATCCAGATGAGGACAGAAAATATTCACTATGGAATCATCTAGATACTCACGGGGTCATCATCATCATCTCCTTTGAACCATCCCCTCTTGAACCCTCCCTCATCTACTTCATTGATGAGATCAGGACCGCCTTGATGGACTATGACACCATCCTGCATGACCAGTACGCTAGTAGGATGGAGCTCGTCGAGCATACGCTTGTAATGGGATACTATCAACATCGACATTGTCGGGTCAACCTCACATAGAGACCGCAGAGTTGTCGCAACCTGAAAGGTTATACAATGTGAATCTTCAACTCCAACGTGTAGGCTTGTCGAACTCGAGAAAGCCCGTACGTAAACGACAACCACTAACGAGCGATCGAGCTGAAACCAAAGACCCTAATTCGACACGCTCTCAATGATACAGTCCGATCGCCTCGAGCAGCACAGTAGTATCACCAACCAGCCCTGGTTTGATGGATTCTCTTCAACAGACTAATACGACCCCTCGTGAGCTAACGTGCATCGTTGCTAATCTAATATCAGCGCTGGACTTCAAACCCGCACGCATGCGCAAGGAACAGCCGCAAGGTCCCCCTCCCCACCTGTCTCAATGCATCCACGTCCAGTCCACTGTCGATCTCATCAAAGACACAAAGTCTAGGTCGTAGGACCACTGCATGTAGGAGCTCTACCCGCTTCCGTTCACCCCCTGACATCCCTGTATTCACGGGTCTATCCAGATACTTCAGCAGCTCCTCCCCTCGTTCCACCTCTATTAATCGAGATTTCGCAAAGTCATAAAACTCAAAGGGCGACAATTCGGGCAGCTTCTGAGCTTGCCTACATGCATTCACCGCGGCGTGCAATAAAGTGAAGTTCGTTAGACCAGGCACCTCTACCGGTGCCTGCCAGGACATGAAGAGCCCCAACTTCGAAGCACGCTCATCAACATCCAAGCTAAGTACGTCCTCACCGGTCATCTCTACTCTACCATGAGTAACTTCATATTGCGAATCACCCATGATAGTTCTGGCAAGGCTGCTCTTCCCGCACCCATTGGGGCCAAGGAGGGCCACTACTTCGCCGGGCTCGACAGATAAGGTAACACCGTTTAGGATGGACACCTTGGGATCCTCACTCAACACAGCATGCAAATTGGACACGTTCAAACCAGCAGAGGCTCTTGCATTCGAACTCTCGCTCGCCCTCATTTTTATCCGACCTACTACCTGACTCACTGCTCCTACCGCTCCACCGACAACAAGTAGCTGCAGGAAGCGCTGGCCTAAAGACAGCGAGGCTACACCCCCAGGGGCATACAGGGAATGCGACACGCTGGTATAGGGCATCCCACCCACTGTGCTGCGACTTATTGTTGGCGAGAACGGAGAAATGAATAGACTCGCTGTGGAGGCCACTGATGAATATAACAAGTAGCATCCAATGAGCAAGAAAGTCAAGCCTGGTAGGACAGAGGAGCGGTTCATATACGATAAAGGGGGAGGAGGCCGCATGGGAATACAAAGCAAATACAACCTGGGCACCTCAACTTCAACGACCAATACCACAACAGAGCTGTGCAATTGGAAACGATTACACATGCGTTCCACTGAGTGAATTACCATTGGACCGGAGTACAGCGCCGCCGATTTCTAGCCCAAAGTGGGACAAGGCCTGGCGGACCTTCACGGGGCACTCCTAAACACCCAGCATGATGAAATCAGGTCGACATTATACCCTACGCGTGTGGAGTAGTACTGGACAAGGAAGGACGTGGCCTTGCCCAGGTCCTCCGTCCTCGTCTCATCCTGTGCAAACCGCCGTAGTAGCTGAGACATCGATAGTAACACCAGTAGTAGTAATAGACGACGCCGCCTCACCACCTCAGCGTAGACTTCTGCCACCTTGTCGTCTTCCCCCCGCATTTGGTAAAGTCTAGCCAGCTTTGGTAGGACCTCCTGGTACACCTCCGGATCCATCCTAGAGCTCTTCCTGAAGATCTTCCACGCCTGAACGACCCTTGCTTGTGATCACCAACAACCGAGCAGGAACACTTCCCACCGCTTCATAGCAAGTCGCGGCTTCATCATCAAAGCACATATTGAGACAACAGTTACCCAGGGACCTCCACCCTATGAGGCTCTCAGGCCTAGACAGGAGGAGGAAGAGGAGCTGAAGAGACTAGGCCTAAGCACCAACCTGAGCTCAACAGCCTTCCGGTAGTAGTAGGCGGCATAGTTCATATGCCCTTGTGCTTCGTATACTCTACCCAATGCACACCACGCTCTACATAGAGAGGAGCTAGCGGAGAGCATCATTACGAGTAGTACGCCATAGAGGTCGGGTCCAATTCAGTGGCCTCCCTCAGAGCTGAGATGGCATCAGCAACCACACCTTCCTGCATACACCTGCTGGACCTCTCACCATCTTAGACTAGTCCTTCTTACTACTACTACTCATTCGCCAAACACACCAATGCGGTGCCTTTCTCCACTGTTCTAGTATATAGTCGGCTCGCCTTACGGTAATACACCTTAGCATTGATAGTATCCTGACAGGAGCTGACACGACTGCATCATCATTCACTAGAGGCCTACCCATGCCCAGTTACTGCCTACCTATGGTATACTCCCATCACAAACATAGTCTCGGCTGCATACTGATCAATTCCAAGACAACGATGCGCGAGCGCTGCCAGATCCTTAGGCCGATCGATGAGCTTCCTGAAGTCAGATCCATCGGGATACAGAATAGGTGCTACTACTACTACTACTACTACTACTACTACAGTAAGCCAGCGTAGCTATCAGCTCCTTTGATAGTATCCCATTCCTGTAGCTGACCGAATACCTCCCTTGTGCACTCCAAATCCCCACTCTCATAAAGACTCATCGCCAAATCCAAAGTGATGCCAAAATGGCTAGGATATCGTTCATGGAGTTTGTGGAATCTGGGTAAAAACCTTCCATAACGCCGCCGCCGATGAGCAGGCCGAATATACTACTTCCGCGCGGCCATCCTGAACAGAGGTACCTCCTTCGAGGCCACAATATTGAGGCCAGCCTAAAACTATCGACTCCATAGCAGCAATGGCAACACCATTGCTGACCTCTGCTGACACCTTACAGGCTGTAGCCCAGGCTATCTCCACCATAGTCACCTTCCACACCTCATCGTTCAAGGCATCGAGTTCCGATGAGCCTAGTAGGGACCCCAGGAACTCCTCCAACGTCCCACATAGGCGTAAGAGGTTCTCCTCCGATACTGCACCTACTTGATAGAATTTCGCGGGGCGCGGTAGTCACTATGTTGGTAGTCACCTTCCCTCAGCTCTGCTGCGGATATTCTCACTCTACACTGTATAAGGGCCTCCCATGCTTGCCACAGCAGGGGTGCCTTTGTTAAAGCTCTCGTGAACAGATGCAGCGCCAGTCTCGAGAATTCGTCTGATGGGGTCAGTGTTGGAACATATGTTCGCTCTCCTCAGCTGAGCTCAGGAGTTTCCTCGCCAATTATAAAGGTTTATATGCGAATTCGAATAGAAGTGTACTGAAACCAATGAGAATTTCACAGAATTTCCTCCAAATTCTCACACTGGCACCGACACATGCAGTTGACCATGTACATACAGGATTAAGTGAGCTATCGAAGACCCCGGATAGAGGCCTCAGACCCTATTACGACTTCCATGCCATCCTGGCAGCTTCCTGTTATCAACCCACCACGACATGAGCAGATGTCCAGCGTGGTAGGCAGCGATGGGATCTAGTCTATCCATACGCGCGGTCGTAGTGACTGCCTCTAGGAAGGTCATCAAGTCGCCATCAATAGGTGTGAACTCCTCCTTGTTAAGACGCGCCTCCTTCCTGAACACAACACTCTTGAGCAGACTGCCGCCGCTCTCAACCCACCCCTGTATAGCCTGGCACAATAGGCTCGTGAAGAGGCTGATGATCCCGTCGTCGCCTGATAGAACACAAGCATAAAATAGTGACACATCTGTAAACCCCTTACTTTGCAAGACTTTCCTCTTCCTCACCAACCTCCCGAGGGACTGTATTGCCCTACAGTAGTCGCCCTTCGTTACTAGTGCCCATGCTTCAACCAATGACTCGGACCCCTCTACCTCTATACTAGGCAACATCATCCACCATTCCCAACCACTTTCCTACCTCCAAAACGATAGAGGTTGGTAGTAAGTGCTATGCAACGTGAGCGAGGAGGCAACTCGAGGCCCTCCAGCCACTGGGAGATAATCATGAGCACGGTATCAGACAGAGCATCACCTCAGCTGTATCGGGCAAACCTCTCTCTACTAGGATCTGTCGGAACGTCCCCATCTGGATACCACCACTGTAGCTCCCCATTCTGGAAGCACCGCGACCCCTCGTGGGTGGCATTGGCAAACAACTTCACTGAGAACTCTGCCCTCATATGGAACTAAACAGACTGAAGTCAGTGACACTGTTCGTTCCTAGTCATCATAAACATCTAATTCAACTAGTGATAAATCACACGAATCAGTATCCGTTTCCACTACTGCCACATCATCGGCAGTCAACACCGGTGCATCCTTGAATTGGCGAAAAAGTGCAGGCGTCGCTCCGCCGCATTTTGGTAAATCGTACATGGCCTCCTTTATCTTATTGGTCTCCTCAGTGATAGAGGCTAGGAAATGCTCAGGGGTGGATATGTTGGGCATGTTGGCTACGAAGTAGGTCTCTGCAGGAGCCCTGTACCTGACCAACATCGATGCCAAGGGGATGTGTAGGAGGGATGGTATATACCACTTAATTGCCCTCCTCCTCTCTTGAAGATATGTGAACAGAGCCAATCGGAGCTCGCGACTACCAAGTAGGGAATCAATTACAGCTTCTAGATATTCCCACAGATCAGGACCTAATAACAAGCGACCACGAAGTGGAAAAGGAGTGGTATCAAAGCAACCCATCTTCCTCATCTAGTCCACACCACTATCATCCTTAAGTGGCCCGAGGAGCCCCTCTAAGCGCACCTGCTAGAGCCTGAGACATTTCCAGGAACTCCACACCCCCCTCAAGGAAGGCGTCTCTCTCCGACTTGGATCGCCTCTTATTTTCAATATCCCTCGTCGCCAGGGATGCCTCGGCAGCCTACGCCAAGCTCTGCTGGTACCCACCATTCAGCGCCTACCTGATTTCTTGCAAGATTCTCCTCCGCTAGCTGCTTCATCGCTGTGAGGTTCATCGTCGCGTCATAAAGCTGATAGTCATGCCTTCGCATAGCCTCAGCAGCCTCCACTATATCAAACCTAGTACAATGTGCCCCAGCCAGGGATCGAACCCGTGCACTCCTTACCCCTTGTCGCGCACGAGGCATGCCAACTCCCCCAGATGATCCCGCGAAAAATCTCTCAAATCGAGCCGCGCTTGTGGCTTCCCCGGCAGTACCCCACCATCCTCCACTTTGATAGTCACCCCCATCACAGTCGAGGGTGTTGACTCGTCCTCTGCAGTCCCCTACAGATGAGTACTGATCCCAACAGGCTGCCCCCTTTTACTTCCTTCTTGCACATTCGACAGGCCTGTTCTTTCCCGCTACCATGGACCATATAAATGCCACTATCCTCACATAGGGGGCACTCAACCATACCATCCGGCGCTGCATGCTGTGATGGCCGCCTTAGCCCCAAGGCTTGGATGAATATAGGGCATATCTTGACGTCGGTCTTGGCCTGATGCCAATCAAAAACCCCAATTCGCCGCCCCTAGCGCTCCCTTACCCACCGACCTTCTTCGCTGCAGGCTCCTCCACATCCGGAATGGGCTCCTCTACATAACAACTGACCGATGGGCCTTGCGATGAGTCCTGCAGCTCTACCACATCCATTGGGATGGACAAGGGGCAGTAAACATCGAGTGGACGATACTCCGCCAAGGACTTCCTCATCGCCTCCAACACCTCCCTCTCGTCCCAGTCATCATTACCTCCTCGCGCCTCCAGTGTGACTTCTTCCTCTTGCCTTGTTGGACACGAGCTACTACCGCTAGAGGCACCCCACATAGTTGACTCCGTGTGCGCCACAGCCCCACTATCCTCACCGTAGTACTGTATCAAGGTGTCAATGAGGTCCTGCTTGCGGAGGCCACTGCTACCCAGACCGATCCCCTTCATCATCTTCTTCAAATCAACTGCTTTTAGCCGGGTCAGGGCCTGCCTCGTGATAGGAAGCCGTACACTATCATCCATCGCAAGATGGTTACCGTAGAGAGATGATTCGGAATACCAGGGGAGTAACACAAGCACTAGTAGCAAGTCTATACCACCAAGCCCACTACGCAACAGCCACTATACGATCATCGAGGCGAATACCGACTAGCTTATTCCAGTCAATGAACGACTTGAAAGACATATCACCTCCACACTGCCGGTACTTATAACGACATACAACAAAAACGACAGGAGAAAGATATCTCCATAAGGGGGTGATGGAGACGTGTGGCTGCAAGAACAAAAGAATCCACCAGGAAGAGGGGTTGCGAGATTAAGACAGCAGAAGAGGACTGACTTTGCTCATCTCAATGTGCTCTGGACTTTCGTAAAAATATCAAGTATTGGCGCAAATAAAACTATCGAAACCAACTATCAGTACGTGGCAGTACTACGAGTAAGACCAACCAATAGCCTGGTCTATCTGAACGAACAATTCGCGAAGGGATGATGGGTTAGGACTGCCAAGCTTCCAGTATGCTACGCGAATAAGGAGTGTATACACCTACACTTCATCCCCTCAGACTTCTAAGCTTCACCACCTAAACGAATCTCTCTATAGAGCGGCTCTTCAAAAGAACATCCCCACTTGGCAGGTTTAAGCTCACACAAATACAAGACACCCGATGAGAAAAGAGTCTTCCAGTACGCCCGAGCAAAGAGCAAACAGAACTGGATAGGATAAAAATCAACCAACTCTCAAGCTATACCGTCGCTTAGACTCTTCCATTAATTGAACTTCGTTATTCAAATGACCATCACTCCCTCCCTGGTCACGTCATAACACCGCTTGCTAAAACGGCTACGACGCCATGCAGCACGAACCGTTAATTTACTCTACCTCATGCCATCAACAATCAACGGAAGACATGTACTAATAATACTAAGACATTACGATGCTGCTTACCACCCCTCCCAGTATCTGGGTCACTGAAGAGGCCCTCCCGAGGACTAACACTAGCCGTAAATGACACACTTGGGTTACACGGTCTACGATTTACTTTCCATAATACATCAACTCTATTATCTTTCGACTGAATAACATTAACTACCGTAACTACAACACAACACGACTAGGGCGAAAACTTAAAAAGTATCTACGACCACTCCGTAAATAACCTCATCCTGACAAAGCTAGTGCATATCACGGCAGCTTCAAAAAGCAGTCACCGCTTTATGCTCTTTACAACTCCTCATCCTTCTCGCCCTTACTGTCCTCTTCTTCCTCCTTCTCAGTAGCCCTAGAGGCAGCAAGACGCTCCTTCAGAGCCTCAGCGTTAGAATGATGCTTCTTGATCCACTTCCAGATGCCTTTAGCCTCACGGGGACCATCGTACTTGACAGGCTCGCTCTCACCAGCCTTTATATAATAGAGAGTCGGGAATCCGTCCCATGTGATACTCTCGATCGGAGAATCATTAGCAGTGCCATCCATCTTAGCGATGACAATCATATCATCGACACCCTCCTTAGCAACCTTCTTGGCGACCTTCTCGTACTCAGGAGCGAGCTGCTTGCAGTGACCACACCAAGGAGCGTAAACCTCAAAAAGAACATCCTTATCGGCCTGGAAAAGATCCTTCTCGAGAGTCGAACCAACGACGACGTGAACGGGCTCGTCCTGAGAGCTAGGAACAGGCTCAGACTTCAAGGTTGGCTCGACAGTGCCATCGAGAACACCCTTGAGGAACTCGGCTATCTTGGCCTTGGTCATCTCACCGGTATACAAATACTTCATCTTATCACCGGCCTTCTTGTTGACCGCCAGAGTCGGAAACTCGGTCACACCGAGCATTCCCTCGATAGCGCTCTTGAACTGAACAGTATCAATGTAAGTGAATGCAAACTGTTCCTGGAACTCCTTGGCAAGCTCGTTCATAATAGGACGATGCTCATCAGCAACCTTCTCAAGATCTTCGCTCGACTCCAGCTCGAAGCAGCCCCATACAAGACCCTTGCCAGCAGACATGTACTTACCGTAGGACTCACCATCGAGGACACCGAAAAGAGGAAGGGTATTGTCCTTCAGGCACTTCTTAAGACCATCGACGGAGATATCGTCACAGACAACAGCCTCCTCACCTTTATGCTGGACGGTGACCTTTGGCTTGTCAGACTCTGTAGCGACATGATAGAAGGTGAATTCCGATCTCTTGCTCGCGGCGACCTCCTCGAAATCAGAAGAGGCCTCACGTCCCTCATAAACACAGATGGGCTTGGTCTCAGCTTGTTCCTCGGCCAGCTTACGACTATCGATCTTCTTCACCGCGGGACCAGTCATATCGACGCACCAAGACTTAATGTCAGCAGCAGTTCGTCCACCACCGTACTCCGAGTGCTCACCGTCGACAAACCAATACAAAGTGGGATACCCACGAACGCCGTACTTCTCGGCCATCTTCTTATGCTCGGTAGCATCGAGCTCACCTAGGGCGAGCTTCTCCTCCCCTACCTCTTCAGCAAGCTCCTTGGCAGCCTGTTCGAACTCAGGGGCAATCTTCTTGCAGTGACCACACCAGGGAGCATAGAACTTCACCAAAGCGTACCTAGTGACGGCATAATACCAATGAAGGACAGATGGTAAGCCCCGGATGAGGGGAGTCCAGGCTGATCCATGCTCCTCTTACTTGTGGTTCTTGACAAAGTCTTCCAAATTATCATCAGTTAGCTGATGAACTTTCGACTCCGACTCGGCGGCAGCGGCCACGGCGGCGACAGCTGCGAAAAAGGTGATGAATCTTGCCATGAAGGAGAGTGATAAACCTACAACAAAACAGCATAAACCGAGACGTCTGCCTCCTAAGTACCGCTCGAAAAACAATCTGCTGAAAAGGCAGTGAACAACTCCATCTGTAACATGCGTGCATCACGCGCCCTGTGAATATCGCGCGCGCCCGAAGAATCTTCGTTAGATACCCACACCCGCATGGCGAAGTATCGCAAGGCGACTATAGGCCGTACTTGTCTAGGGGGAGCCGAGCATTTGACTGTAAGCTGCTTCATGAAGGATACGTTGCGCCTCACCAAGACGCGCGCTAGCTGGTGTGCTCACGAGGGTGGATCATCTTCATGCCACTTTGCAGTTCCTCTCATGCCTACTACTGGACGGCAAAGGGAGCATCGCTCCGCGGACGGTACATTACGACGGTTTGATAAGAAGACTATGCGATGGGAAGTGGTGATAGAGGAATCACATGATGGTACTATCACATTGTAGCCACCCTCGACACGATATGCTATCGTTAACTTCGTCGGTTAAAGCGCTCCATCGGGTAGTCCAGTCGACGTCTGATCCCTCAGGCGCTGTAACGACACCAGCAGCGCCGCTGCTGGCCCTTCCCGGTAAGCAGTATCCACTGAAATTCGATGGCAGCGACTTTCAAATCAACGGTAAATTCATTCGTCTACCTAATGGGGAGGCGTGCCGACGCAATCCTCGAGATCAGCAGGACGCCGACACAGCCGACTCGGTCTGGGACAGCTCAGTTGTATACTCATCGTCGAGGGTCGCGTCGGTCATAACCTTCATAGGTGCTCGCCAAACTGTTAGAGCATAGTCCGCACTTAGTACGTGGCAAACGCGTGCTCGAGCTTGGAAGTGGTAAGCACATCTCCTGGGGTCGAGAAAGGCCCGTCGTCCTATGCGTGGCCGTAAGGTACTGGCCTGGGAGGTATCTCCGCTGCTTTATGCGGCGCTCGAGAAGTGACACTAACTGATCTGCCTTATGCCATGCCGTTATTGCGAGAAAGCATCGATCTCAATTGCGTAGCGGACACCGTAAAAGCGGACGTCCTAGACTGGTCCAACCCTCCAGCTGAGGACATTACATCGAAGTAATGCACATTGCTTTCCACTCGATCGGCTACACCACACAGCGAGTCTCGTAGGTTCGACATTGTTATTGCTTCCGACGTCATCTGGCTTGAGGCCCTGGTCCCCTCGCTCGCTGATGTAATAGCTGACAAGAGGCTCCTTCCCTTCCTCATGGTCCACCAAACGCGGAGCCTCCGATGTGACCAACTCTTTGAAGATCTTTTGAAGTCTCGCGGCCTCCGCCTCACTACATTGGACGATCGGATTAAACATCCGGAGTTTCTCGGTGAATTATTTCATATCAGAGCGTTCCTCGTTGATATTGATCGTGATGGCACTTAGTGTCTTAGTATAACTTGTGTTGTGAGTTGAGGCCGTTACAATCAAGCACTCCTATGCATTATCCCGCCGAATTATAAATCTCGGAGTGGAGTGACCAGTGCTGAAAAATATGTTCGCTTTCCTCAGCTGAGTTTGACAGTTTCCTCACGAAATATACATGTTAACATACGAATCCAGGTAGAAATGTACAGGAATCAATGAGAATTTACCAAAATTTCCTCAGAATTTCCATTTCGTCACCAACATGTGCGGTTGACCATAGGCACATTTTCCCACACTGAAAGTGACGTTCTAATGGTGCCGATATTGTCGGGTCAGGTCGTAATGAATTAACATGTGGCGTAACTATCATTGTTATTTGCAGTCGATCGTGCTGCCCTCTGTTCATTTTCCTAATTTGCGCGATGAAAACTCAAGTTGATGAAGGGGCATGCACCTCACACGCGTCAAAACAAGAAATGAATCGCATCCGTGCTACACCTTTGCGCGCCCATTACGGCTCATCAGTGAGCTTTCTCACTAACTGCTGAATGTAGTACTGTTTGGGTTCAAAGCGCCATTCCATGCTCGCGAGTCCGATTGCTCGATATCATTGAAGTATACTCTAGGAGTCGATTTGCCATCGTATTCGATTCCAAAAACTATCCTCTTTGCCGGGGGCCTACCGCCTGGCGAGGTCGACCCATACCTCCACTGAGTTCCCTCTCCAGTAGCGTTGTGCACTCACACTGGGTCCTCGACAGGGCGATGATCATACAACAACACAAGTCTTGCAGCTGATCAATAGATGTGTGTATATCTGATAAGTTTAATGTCGAATGATTTCTTCGACTGAATCAGTGAAAGAGATAGTTGAAATTACATCATCGACCTCAGCAAGATGAGCAGAGATTGCCGTTGGGTGTTCCCTATGAATAGGCAACTACCAGGCAATAGGCCTAGGGATGGGCGCTTGAGGTACACGAGCTCCAGTAGATCCGTTGAGCTTAAGAATTACATCCAGAACATGGTCGAAGGCTGACGATGGTACAGTCTACTCATGTTCAATGTCTACTGATATCTACTGGTGCGTTGAGTGTTAGTAGGGACCGCCATGGACGACAGTACAGTGCACGAGATCCGGACGCATCCACTGAGGAGGTTCGGGCACTATGAATGTTCTCTAAAGATCGAAGACGGAGCTTATCGGAACTCCCTCCTTCCCATTGCCAAGCCCATAAATTAACAAACAACGCCGACTTCGAGAAGATACTGCAGCGTTACTGATGATCATCATCAAATTAATGTGACATAATAAAATGATCGTACTAGGACTGGTCGACGTCGGCTGCTGCCACTTCATTTACTGTTCCATCAAGGCAGGCCACCACCCGTGCTAGCTGTGCTGTCCTCAACTATCTCAACTACTCCCGCAAATTTTTGATGCATTCCCATCGCCTTGCTGAACCCGAACGCTGTTGCCGCAGAGTTGAAGAAAGTCATCGTCGCGGCTGCATTACGAGCCCTTGGAGAACCGTGTTGGTCCAAATACTCGGTATCATCCTATGAAGGTAAACTGCCCTACCATAAGAGCAGCAAATAGGACCTACTCGATGGTGACCATCCTCGTCGCCGTCCAGCTCATCCACACCAAGCCATGTGCCGACTGCATCAGCGATGCTGAAATCATCTTCATGCTCGTTGTCATCTTCCATGCCATTCTCCATTCCAAGACCAGTGGCCTCGCTATCGTTAGGCGTGGAAATACAGAAATGATCACATCGTGATGACGAGGGTGCCTCCTTGCATGGGGGAGTGCATTCCACCACAACTGCGGCCTCATCAGCCCGGTCTGGCTCTTCCACATTGGCCACCCCCGGGTTATTCTCTGTCGTGGACTCCTCTTCCTCCAGAGGTTGCCCCTTCACCTGTGACTCGGTAGGGCCGGGCATGGTCATAGGTTTTGCTTGATATGGGAGAGCCTTCACAGATACCTATACCCCACTGCAACAGCGCTGTGTCACACAACACCCTACCGCCTTCCTCCCCCTCCTATTTCGCTTCCCTTTCTTCTTGTGCTTCACCACGCTACGGCCTCCACCAGCTTGGTCCGCCTCGATATTAGTAGTAGCCACGCCTTGTGACAGGACCAGACTCCTCAACGACTCCACAGATAGGACAATAGCCTGAAGAATACTAAGTGCTAAAGCGCTCCGGACATCAACATGATAGCGGTACTTGCATCCCATAAGGGCTGAGAGCTCTGACGAGGCTCTTCTTGTAACCCTCTGTAAGAGCCCTCCTGGTCACAACAGTAGCATAGACGGCTCCACTACTCGTGTTGCCATCCCGACCTCGACACAAAACCCTACTCTAAGGCGATAACTCGGTGCTACCTGGTAGAGCGGAGGTCGTGACAGATATAACGCCAGAGAGGACCCCGAGCAATGCATGGCGACATGCATCTTGGTAGGATTGGTCTGAGAATAGAACAGCGACTGACCCATCCCAACACCAGGACGGTTGTCCCACTGTTGTGAGGCTTCCCCATCAACAACAGGATGGCTGTATGAGGCTCATTACGACCGCACCCATCCTTCACAGAGGTCTTCGCCGTGCTAACACTAGTAGTCATTGGCAAGAGAACAACTAAGAGCAGCGAGTGTGAGGCAATCATTGAGGAACTCCAAGTCGACACGGGCATCATCGCTCAGTATAAGTTCTGACCATCAGGCCGCAGGATGTATTCTTGCACTAATTGCTCTTCCATTCGCTTCCGTATTGGCCCATCCTCCTCCATCCAATGCTCATCACGAAGCCTCGGCACTTGTATATCCCACACCTTCGATCGGGTTGCGTACCGGGCTCGCAGATCAATTCCACGCCTTATTTCCTCCTTACGTTCTCTGAAGTAGGAAAAACAAAAAACACAACATTCAAGACGGTTTTCGTCAATGCTTTCGTCAAGCACTACTCCACCTACTTCTCAATCTCGTCAACAACTTCCTTCTCTATACGTAACAGCAGCGCCTTACGGGCGAGGACCCTCTCATCTGGCTGAGCTTTCTTTGCCCGAGGGATCTGCAAGTCAGACTCGCTCAGAGACTTCATCGGTGGGGGTTTGGTTATCCTGATACGGCCATGTACTGTACACATCACCATCACCCCGACACCTACTCCACCCTGGTCATAGCCATATGCTCCTCCGGAGGCTGGCACGACAGACTACCCTCCTTTTCTAGACGGGCGATCTCCTCTGTGACCTCCTTGATACGCCTCTCCACAGCAACGAGGGATGGAGGCAATTCTGTCGGTGGTGGTAGCAAGTCCTCCGAAACCGGCACGATAGCTGCGAGTGGCGGCGGCTGACAAAACCATCAAAGGCCACCAGGGTTAAGAGGGGCAGACCCTTACCTGTTCCCGAGGCTGCTCCACTCCATCAACCGAGTCCCGTATGTCACGGAATGGCATCTGGGGTGGGCCCGCTGGCGGTGATGACATCAAAATATCCGGCAAGACTAAACCCGTTATTGACAACACTGTTGCTATCCTCACTTAGAAAATCTGGTAAAACTCTCACTGAACAGTCGCTATGCATTCTAAAGACTCCTCACAGAGTATCTTGGCTCCAACTCCGAGCTGTACTTGGCAAATGCGCTCTCGCCTCGGACGTACGACACAGCCTCAGGGACAGCATTCATGATATCGGATGCTGTAACTCCTAACAAACTTCCATACCATCACAAGAGATACTCGCTACACACCAGATGTGGCATGCGAACACGCCACTGTAGGGTCTACTACTCACCATCTTCCCCTCCAAGGTTGATAGCCGCGATGTCTCCAGCAACTCCATGCACGAATACAGCCGCTGCCACAGCGTCACCAAGACTATCCACATCATGACCATACGCGGCATACCTGAGCATTACTACAGTCGACACCCTTCACATAGTGATGTTCTTACATAGCAGGGATGAGGCCACTGAGAACATCCCCACTTCCGGCCGTACCCATGCCACTATTCCCAGACAGGTTCATCCGCGCCCGACCTGATCGCCATCCCACTGGCAACCCTAATGTAAGGAATGTCGTCCTACCTGAAGGTTCGCATACCATAGACGTCGCTCCCTTGACAACGACGACAGCATTTGTACTACGGCCCAGCTCCCGTCCAACCTGGGAAGATACTCGCATCACCAACACAAGCACGATCACGGCCACTCACCTCCAGCAAACTCCGAGATCCGTTCGTGAGCTCTGCCATCGAGAGGCCAGTGAGACGGCTAAGCTCGGCCAAGTGAGGCGTGAGGACCACTGGGGACTAAGGCACAACACACACTACAAGCAAGGCATCAACAATGGACAATGATGCACGATGCTGAGTATGAGAAACAACTCCCACCGACCAAGCTATGAGAGCTATCAATGAATGTGGACATGACACAGTGATCTGGGATGATACATAGATAATCCAATACTCACCAACTGCTTTCGATGGCGCTCCTGCAAGAGCTGAGAGGCGGTGGAGAATATGTCAGTTGAATCGACTGGAGGTATGGAGATCGCTGTGATACCGTCACCGTCGATGACCATAGGCTTATCCACATCTGAGGATAACCACCGTCACGCGCCACAAAATTACACACCGCTGCCTTACTCAGTACCATACTCCGCACCAACCTAGCTGTATCACCGTTAGTCGAAATACCAGGTCCAACCACGACGATATCAGCCAGGTCTTGGGCCATCTTAAACAGCCGGTCATAGTTGCTGCTGCCGATGCTGCCTGAGATACCTCCCTGACTTCACTATGTATCCGGGACCTTACCAGCAGTAGTGCTCTCTAGTTCGTGGAAAACGATAGACGGAGCCTCCCCAGCGATAACTGGTATCTGATACGAGTTACTGAAAACTCCCTCCCTCCATGAACCCCTACAATGCTTCCGACAGTGGCCAGTCTACTGTACCCTCCACCAGCCTTCAGGAAGCTGTAGCTACTCAGCATGGGTGCTCCGTAGTACCCTTCAGCTCCACATACAAATAGCGCTCTGATACAGAACACTATCAGGCTTCGAAAACCCACACTTCAACAGAACGAGAACCACGCGGTAAATCAAAGGGGCCTCGCATGCAGCACCCACGCAAGATGGGCGCCGGGGATTACTACACATATCAGTAAGTTCGTGACAAGAAAAAGGCTAATTATTCCACAGTGAGATCTCTCGACTCAACTCACTTGCCAAGGGAGCCTTTATGCCCAGCTGGACTTCGCGATGGAAGTTGTGGGAAGTAGTTAACATAGGTATTCAAATCGGCGTATCTATCAGCAATCAACCTCGAGAACATTCATGAGGGCTCCCTTACAGTTCCGGAGGATATCCAATGTGTGTAACCGTCAAGTTCCCGCACATCTCACGTCCAGGGTAAACCAAGTTACCAATCTTCACCAACCCAAAAGTAGCTGTCGCAGTTGCATGCACCTACAAACAAGCCAATTTTAAATCCACCACTACCGCGCGCCACAGAAATTAGAAAAGGGGCATTCCTTACCGCTTGATCTCCCATGATCCGGCCGGAGTCTCCATTCACTCCCGATGGTATGTCCAAGGACATAACCTACCAAAACATATCCACATTAGTGCCCGTTCTTCCAGTGTTCGCTTCCCTCAACTGAGCTCAGGAGTTTCCTCAATAATCATACAAGTTTGCATACAAACTGAGGCGAAAGTGTATAGAAACTAATGAAAATTTCCCAAAATCTCCTCAGAATTGTCATATTGTCACCAACTCATGTAGTTGACCATGTTCATATTTTCCCACACTGCGCTACTACGATGGAATTCTTACAGGTTTCGACGCCCTATTGATAGCAGCAATAGCCACTCCAAAGGGACTGCTAGGGTCGACGACACGACCAAGCCCTGTACCGAAGATACCATCCACGAGGACATCCGCCCAGTCGACTGCCGAGCTGATAGCCTCTTCGCTGGTCGCGATTTCAACAGATATACCCGGAATGCAGTCAACAATATTCAAATTGGTACTAGCATCGCCGTGATACCTAAAAACCGGCGTTGAGGAAACGCAAGATTGCAAGATATGCCAACCTTACTTCTCCCTGCCATTCAGCAATATCACTTTCACCTGACCTCCATTGCTATGGACATAACGAGCGACCACGAAACCATCGCCACCGTTATTTCCTATCATCAAAGAGATACCGTCGCTACATGCGTCCGATTATTACCAGGTCCACAAACCACAAGGACCTTGGTCTGTTGGGTCATGCGATGACCGGGCAAGAGCTCTGTGAGACAGCGATAGCTAGTGATACCAGCGTTCTCCATCAACAGGACTGAGGGGATGCTGTACCTAACACGTTAAGATCGGATCTGAGCCATCACACAGGGACCCGCGAGACCGCTGTCGTATTATTCCATTATATTAAGTCCGCTTGAGGATAATACAATACCAGGAAAGGCGACAGTTACTTGTCCGTAGCATCCTTATCACACCGCCTCATCTGATCACAGGAAGACACCTTCATCGGCGGAAGAGAACCTCCTCCTGCTGCCGCTACAGACCCCTTCACAGTCGTCGCAGAAACGACTGCTGACAAACTTGATGTTACCATACTAGATACTGCCAATAAACGATTCATAATAACTCGTTGAGAACACATTATTGGCTTCCACCACCACCACGACGACCCTTACCCTTCAACCCAACCATCGAACCAATACATCACGAAAAGGCGATCAAAGCTCACATGGACACATCAGGTCAACCCACCGCTAAAGGGCTCAACGACAATACTTTTGCTGGTTTTCTAACATGGACTTGCTTTTTGAAGTAAATTTGATAGACCTACCTTCTTGACCAGTCGCCTGACGAAACTACCAGTGTTCTCAGTTGACCCATGTCGCCGCAAACCCAACGGTGCCGGGGTGGCCACTCGACTCCGATACCTCCCCGACATCTCGACACTACCATCATCGGCATGAGCTAAGACCAGCACATTTCCCACGACACCATTACTAGCAGCACTCGCGATCTACTACATTTCCCTTTGCTGAACAGATTCATGAACCTGTTAGTGCCCTGCGAGCCCGAACGTTGAACGCGCATTCCCTCCTCGTCGTCGGGGGTCCCTCCCTCGTATAGGACCATCCCATCATCCAGCTCGTTTTCAATATGCATTTGCTCAGCTATCGCTTGGTAAGAAAGCTCGTAAGAATGTATCACCAAATGTACCTGATCAGAGATCCCCGGTTCGAACCCCGGCAGTGACACTCTCAGTACTCCCTGTAGCAAAGACTCTACCAAACACAGCAGCAACAGCATGACCAAACCAGTTACAGGGAATAGCGCCCGGATATCCGGTCCACCTAAACAGAGCAAAAGGCTCCCCAGCACATGACAAGACGAGCTCACTCAGGATGGCTATGAAAATGACAAGTCCACCTCTAATCTGGCTGCATATCTTCATGGCTCGACCAAGACTATGCACCTATAATAACATCAACACTAAGCCCCTCCTATCCTAGGACATGACCATCACCTTCACAATGAGTCTCCTTAATGTGTCGACATCTCCCCCTTCCATCCCGTCGAACTTACCGAAATCCACATACTCCAATTCGTCTCGAACTGGTAGAGGGTTCGAATACCTGACTAGCAGCAGAATGCACCATTGTGATGGTGTGGGACAGCCCTGCGCAGACTCGGCAACGTGGAGAAAGAGGGACAGAGGAGCACACAATACTCGGCCATTTTCCCAACTATGATCCCCAGTGGTAGCGCTTGTAAGCCAAGACTAATACTTTGCGAGGTAGCCCGCTGTACCTGCCCAGACCAGTGCTCACGTCAGCACACAGAAGCAAAGCTTACCGCCATTACGGGTTGTGGGGGTTCCTCGAATACAGTCAAGAAAACTCGGCTATAATACTCAGCGCGACTATTCACTTGAAAGCCTCGACCATTGGCAGTAGAAGTCCATCTACCAATACAAACCTGACACCTGCATATAATGAGCGAGCCCTCCTCTCGTCAGTACCCAGAGGAAGCCGAGCCATCCCCGGGCCCTGTAGCTAAGCCTACGACCACACCCCCGCACCAATGCGGCGTAGTCCCAGATACCTAGTAGCAGCCAAGCTGAGCGTGAGCGTTCCAGTACCAGTAGATACCTCTATCCTTAGCCTCCTCATACTCGCGGAAATGGTCGGACCCAGTGTCGCTGTCACCAGCACATTCTACTACAGCTTGCTCCAACTCGCCGAGACCATCCATCTTCAAGACGCCCTCCAGATGCTCATCGAGCCCTGACAAGAAAAGGCAGAAGATGTCCAGTCCTGTGATGGCCTGAAACAAACCAGTGGCGAAGTGATGACCAGTGACGTTGACGACCACGCCCGTCAGAAGGACGAAGATTGCAGTAACCCAGCTCAGACTATGACCGAACAGCCATGTTAGGAAGGGGGCATAGGACGCAATGGGAGGGGCTTCGTGACGGTGATAATAAGCCTGAAGTCAAACAACTCGTCATCGCTCGACTCGGTGATCTACACCGAGGCTTCTCTATACACCATCGTTCAACTGTGAAAAGTCCAAGCGCCTCCTGGTACCTGATAGCACCCTGAAGTCTTGTGAAAGAGTTGCTCGTTGGAGTCGAATAGGAATGTCAGGGATGTTACCGATGCGAGACAGAGGATTTGGCAGCTGGCCGTGAGTACCTATGATACCACTCACTAGAGGCCTCCTCAGTGTGGTAAAATTTGCGCACGGTCAACCACATGTGTTGGTGACAATATGAAAACTCTGAGGAAAATTTGGAAAATCCTTGTTAGTGTTTGTACACTGATCGTATATATTCTCCCAATTCGTATATAAAATCCTATGATTAGTGAGGAAAATTTGGAGCTCAGCTGAGGAAAGCGAACATTTTTCGCAGCACTGGGCCTCCTGCTAGTAGACCTACGCCCTTAGCCATAGTCAGCTTAGCCCATGTCAACCATTTGCGATGGACCAATGAAGCATACCGCGCACACTCTACCAGACCGAGGACATCCAGAGTAGTGATGACCTAATGAATAGCTCAAGCACCTTCCCAGCTGGGCCGGGTCCCTACCCAAAGCATCCCTCCAGTCAATGTCATCGTGATAGAGGACACTATCAATGATGTTCCAGCACAGTTGTAGGAGCTGCCGCGCAAGGCAGCCAGCATCCAGCCACCTAGTGAGCCTGGTGAGGTAGAGTAGAGGAAGGATGGTACCTTAGAAGGAAGCAGCCTATCTCAATGCAACAAATTCCACAGTACATACTCAGACCCAACAAGAGATCTCTGTGAGAAGATAACCACCATCAAAGCCACCAAACCACTCACCAGTGGAATTGGCTCGCGACAACCATCGCGACCGAACAAGCAAAGTCCAAGAATAGTGAATACATACCGGACGCAGGCCACATCAAACAAAGATGATACCACGTTTACGACGGCAAACGAGGACCACATGAGGATGGAGTGTAACCTGAACAGAGACAGAATAGCTACGCCTCGGTCGAGGGCCCTACCAGAAGTCTGGAGACTGAGGCAGAGAAGTCTGATAAAGATGGTACTCGATAGAAGCTAAGCGTTCGACCCTGATCAGTGCGACGAAGCCTACCGCAAATACCACAGCCAGCACCGAGCCGCTGACCAGAAGGGTCACCAGCAGCCAGGCAGCATGCACCTGAAGAGGGCCTATACCTTCGGGTTCCATACGTCATGGGATTGGGTACGACCGCTCGCTCAGTTGCATGAGAGGATGATACCGAACGAGGAGTGATGGCATACAATGGAGAAGCATAGTCCCGCCACGAGGATCATTGTGACCCGAGCTGTCCTCCACTGACACAATTCGGACATCTCCCTCTTATTCTCGTCCGGCACCTGTGACCGATTCAGCCGAGCACTAGGCTCGAATTCTCTACCATGAGCATAGTGTGGCAACACGATAGTAGAGCAAGGGCAGTCGCTATAGGGGATAGGATAGCTGATAACACCAGAACCTGAGGTACCTGGTGCTCAGCGATACGACCAAAGCTACGAGTACGAGCATCTCCAAATGGCTATCATTGAGCTCCGGCATCGGTGTGGTGGCATAAACAACATCAGTGGCACAGCCAGGGTCATTCACATCTGTTACCCCCGGAGCACAGGTCTTGCGTGTGACATCAACCTAGGTACCATACCATGACCACAACAATAGCCAGCTGAATAAGCTGGGCACATTTCTCCAACACTCCTTGGCGTTAGGGTTCTCCAGGCAGACTTCCGACACAGGATCGTAGACCTGCCAGAGGGCTACCATCGCATACGGTTAGCAATACCGCTACCTGCAAGGCCCAGAGGAGCTCATTCACAAGTGCATTGGCCCCAATGGTCACGCACTGGATGTCGATACCCCCCTCAGGTATAACGTCGGGATCGAACTGGATGCCGATCCATGCCTCAGCCGTGCCTAATCCCACAAAGCCTCACAGCGGCAGGAACATCCATCCATTGTCAAGAGCGTATTGGGCATTCTCACTGCAAAAGTCACAAGGAGCCCACCAAGCTGTGGCTTCGCCATCAACATCAAATGCATAATGTGGTGGGTTCTCACCAGTGTACCTTATAGTGGGTCAACCCGATGTCATAGTGTCTCAGGTACTTCACCTACCCACTGGCGATGGCCGTCGCCCCGAGAGCACTAGTAGTAGGAATGCGACTCTGATCTGTGCACTGCTCCGAGTTATATAGACGAATGTCGTATACTTTCCAAAGCCTATTACGACGAAGTGTAGGGCAACAACTTGGCTTGCAAGCGCAAAGGGGAAAGGTAAAGGGGACTTAGTGGGGGCGTGCGCTACTCACAGTCGCCTGCCCAGAGGGGCCGTATTCACAATCCGCCATCTAGTGTTCGGTGGGGGTTCTGAGGCTGCCTCCGTGAGGGCAAGCCATGAGCCACCAGAGAGATAGTGGATCACTCGGATCTGGGGAGAGCAGCAGGTCGCCATGCAGAGGGCACGAGGTGTCCAGGTCAGACCTGTATCCAGTCCTGATTGTTGGGCTCGGAGGTCTCCAACACGACTGACTCCGCTGTATTTGTCACATCGAGAGGTTGCAGAATACGCACACACTTCACCTCACGAGATGAATCTAACGGCACGAACTGGAGTGTGGACAAGCGGTCCTCTGAATGAAAGCCTACTCGTTCCTCCAAAAACGGTGAACGTAAGTCCAATCCATGGATTATAGTCGTTGGAGGCAGGCTGCCAGAACGTATCGGTATTCGCATCAAACGCTCGGTATCTACGCGCCGAACGCTGTCTCCAAATACCCCATTCTCCTTCGTGGACCACCAGTTCACACCACTGCGAGGTGTATCAGTCTTTCTAGATTAACGCGAATATTCGCTTCGAGCGTACCCAGCAAATGTGCCGCCGGATTTATGAGAGCTGACAATTACTGCTGGCTGTTGGTCATCGTTTCTACCGATAGAAGGTCCTTCACACTTCGAGTCTCGATGGAACGAAACTTCACTGACCTGCGAGTAGACATCAGCTCTTTACAGAGAACACTCGCGTGGTCCGCATGAGGAGCTCTACGTGTAGTCCAAGACCAAGTTGAGCTGCGAGTTTGATGACCTCGCTCACCTGCCACTTCGCAGCCGACGGGTGAGTGATCATATCCAACCTTCGGATTCTCCATTTTGTCTGCCAGCCCCACCCCAGCACAATCCAGCCTGAAATTGTCCATCGACAGCTTCAGAGCTACGCTTTCATATATCTCATCACTGACGAGATACATGAAAGCGTACCCTGACGAGTCGTCAGGGATCACATGTACGAGTCGTATTGTCGTATAGTACGACAATAATCTGACGTGCTGGGGGCGATCCGAAGTGTTAATCTAGCATCATGAGGATAGGAGAAGTCCGGATGTGGTCTACATTACCCAAGGTTCAAGCTGTGCCTCAATTGATTGCTCGGGGATGGTATATGCTGGCGTTACCAGCTACGTCGTATCATTCAAGCTGATGCAGCTAGTAGTGCTACGTTTCTGGCCTCCAGGAAGACTCCTGTGCTGAGATAGGTTCTTTGGTGGTTCATAGTGGTGGTACAGCAGCCTGACGTGTATGGGACATTGGGTGGAGCTTGCACGAACGTGGTCGATCAGCTTCGTATTCGTATACTTCATCAACTACGGAACATTCGTTGGTAGGACTTCTTGGTCCCCCCTGAATATCCATGATTTCTCTACGTGCCGGAGTTGTTCCGACACTGCATGATTTTGACAAGTCGTGGTAGCAGACTCGGAAGGCATCTTCAACATTGTAGAGCCGAATTCCCAACCTTCTCGACGAGGAGCTAAGGCTCACGGTTTTTGGACTTTCGTCAGAGTCCCGACTCAAGATAAGCACCACCCAAGGCCTTACTCTTATCAAGCCAATTACATGTCCCAGAAGATGCACACCAACGCTGATCGTACCTGATCGACGATTCCACGGCATAGGAGCTTTCAAAGATATTATTGTAGACTAACGACCACTTGATTGAAGATCAGATAACTCGTTCCTCCATGCAGATGCGCCACTTGAATGACTACATGCCCTCCTATCAATGTACGGACGATCGTAGCCCAGATGGAACAGGAATATAAAGTTGCCCCTCAGAACCATACCTGAGGACCATAGTCCTCTCCCATTGAGTCGTTGACTGCCATGCCAGTAGTCTTTCCAGGACAATCTCGCTCATCGAGTCGCCCTCATTCTGAGCTCCCGAGGAAAGAGTACCGGCTTTCGTGGACTCATAAACACGAACCTAATCACATTCAGCATATGACTCTGAAATTGAGAGTCTACGCCAAGGAAGACGACAGGAAGCTCTAAGTACGACTAGTCCCGGTTCAATCGAACACCTGCATCTACTATCCCGTAGGGCAGTCTTCCCTCGCCCTACAACATAGACTTACACAACGTATGACACTGTCCGTCACTAAGCCGACCCATGGGATCTGGCTCTGATCCTGACAAGTGCGATACACCAGTAACAACATCTCGTTATATACTAACATCGGGTGGGCGGGGAGTCGATACTATTCCAAGTTGTTCATCTTCATACCTAAAATACCCTCATATTCACATCGAGCGGCTGATCATCAAACTAGATGATTTCATGAGTCATCGAGGAACATGTTAGACCTGACCTACGATCCTGCGTAGTCATCATAGTACGGTAGCCTCGGTAACCATCCTGTCTCGTATAGCCCATCATACACAAGATACGGGTCCTCCTGCTCACCTACACATAGCCAAGTCCTGTACATTCCAAGGAAAGGGACCTCAGTCCAGTTCAATTGAGGCCATCCCACATACCAGTGATTTGGTTACTCACCTGCAACACCCTGTGATGAGACCGGCTGACCCTGCACAGGACCTCCCCTACACTCGGGGTTGGTATACCTAGCCAGATGGCTCACCAGGTAGCTGTGCTAGCCAGTACATAAGGGAGCTCTACTACATCTCAACACTCCACACCGGACACCTCTGAGTAAGGTCGGAGCCACAGGCCGTCAACCCCCAGCCTTTACCCTTTAGTCGCCATATCGTAGAGTTGTAACTCGGGTATACTCGCAAGACCTGCCCAGGGATACCATGTCCAGCATATCGTAAGGAACCTACCCCTGATGGCAGCGTCTGGCCACCGTATGTCAAACTGAGCCATGACCCTCCACTGAGCAGATCGAAGGAGTACCTGATCGATCCCCAGTGGACAAGATGTCCTCAGCGCTACTACGCTGTTTCCCACTGCACAGATCCAATGTACTGTATCGCAGCTCTTGACACCGAGTACCCAGGACCGAAGAAAGCTCTTACACAGGCCACACTAGGTGGCGTCCCTAGTATCCACCGTAGACCAACATACCTGCTCGTCGACTACAGGTTCAACGAGGATTACATCCTCTACGCTTCCTCTTCATAACAGGAAGAACACTGGCTCCTCCAGGACTTGCTGGCATCGTTGGTGACACCGTCGAAGGCATAAGTAGGGTGTCTCGACTCTTCATGGGACGATGCGATGATAGATATGTCCCGTACCTGTCACCCTATCCCTCTACCTCCTAGTGGCCCCCCACTACCAGGCCCTGATCGAGCCCCGCCGCCAAGCTGTGGCCCCCATCGTGCTGTAGTGGATGGAGCGCCTCAGTACACTCCGCATCAGCATACAGTTCAAGCTCGCGGATGTCCCATTGCCGGCTCACTACCTGCGTTACTGTGAGCCTCCATGAGCTCCGTGGCAGCATAGGGGAGAGCACCAGTCGAGTACCACCAAACAGTCCATCGTATCTACTCCAATAAGAATAGTAAGATTAACAGGAGCTGCAGCACCTCGCAACTGTCATCCATACGTTCTCCCCAGATAAGTACTGCAATACCACTGATGTAACATAGGCGTCGACTTCCACACCTTGCTGCATCTTCACACACTCAATGATAGCTGATAACGATGCCCTGCACCCAATCAGTTAATGAGAGTACTCACGCAATTCCGTGTCGAACTGCATCCCCAACCAGGCCTCATAGGGCCCACACTCAGCCGTTACACACTCAGCAGTCCATTCGGTAGACGGCTTCCTGAGGACCACAGCTCATGCACTGATAAAGTAGCGATTCCGCCACCAATCGAAAGCTCGGACCGGGCCATTGGAGGCTTTGAATGCACTCGACATAGGAGTACCACTAACTGTTAGGATGGTGTCAACTTCACAGGCTGAGTCCACGTAAAATCCCTGACGACGAACCATAAAAGAGAGCACACAGGCGGCTGACCAGATCGACGATTGTCCACGGTCCCCTCACAGCCTCTGCATTGGCAATCCTCCACCTCCTACGGCTCGGCGGGAACACCCAAAAATCATTGAGTTTCATCCAGATATCGCCTGCATATCGATAACAATAATAGTCGATACTATGCTTGATATTATCAGCCCTCGTTACCAGAAAGGAAGTCGAAGTCCATTATCCTAGTATAAGTAGCTTCCCCCACGAGCTTTCTCTCGAGCCGGGCCGAGTAGGCCAACTCCGACATGTCAGCACCCTGGAGTAGCTTCAAGCATCGTATGGTCACCGAAGGAGCAAACCTAACATTCTCTTGCCGGGGTCCACATCCCCAAGGAGCTCTTACTGATATCCAATAAAGCAACTGATAGCACAAGTAGAAGCCCTCCAGCCAGTAGTGGGGTCTCCATCCCTAGCCAAGTGAGCGTCGTACAGGCTGTGAGACACTACCACGTTGGACGACCCAGTCGTTGTCTGAGCTGCAGCGAGAGGCTCCTAACAACAACAACCACGAGCAATCTAAGGCAACACACACAGTGACCAGGCCTAGGGCTCACCAGTGGCTCCCCGGTGCACTCAGTAGTGTCGAACCACTGCAATTCCTGAGTACCACACCGTCGACTACGGACCGTGGCTCTGCCCTACTCGGACGAACCACTGTAACCGTGTCTCGTCAGTTTTCCTAAGACGCCACACGACTTCTCCAGTGATCTGTGATGATGCCAGCCTCGGTAACTCAACGATGCTCAGGAATGCAACGAGTCCGCATATGAACCGACGAGTCGTCATAGGCACATCGTCTATAGCATCGACTGGAGCCCTGCGGAGATCAAAGCCTTGACCTTTACTAGTTGACTTGACTCAAGACAATAACGTAGAGAAACGCAGAGATATCCTCCCAAGGGCATCATCATTCATCATGATTACACGCCTCCGAGCATCGATCGAGTCAGCAAGAGTACATCTGTATAGCCCATACGACTACAGCAGCATACTCCACCACTTCGAGGGAAAGCACTATGCTTCAGAACAACAATCGACAATGATGAAGGGCGCACATTACCAACATTGCTAATGAGCACAATCATCACTAGGGCTAAACCACCAGTTTTGGAGACCTAAACAAAACTATTGCTACTTGCTCATCTCCAGCCTGCCAGGTGTGTGTGACCACGCAGCCCGAGACCAACAGCCCGGATCGAGCGGAGATCTATTGGTATGGCGGTGATGATAGGTGACTCGACAGAATTAAGGTAGTGTTCAGCCCTTTAGTAACAAACACTACGACCCTCTCCAAGAGCCCTTTAGGAGAGTTTAATGCTGGAAGGTGATTGATAGACTCGACTCAAGAGAGTCTTGATCGCAACACCTTTAGACACGTCGAGTACTCAACTCCCTGACACTCCCTGAACTTGCGGATTTCCTCAGGCACAGGGCGGTGGGAGAAGCCTCACTGTAGATGTCTCTTTATTCTTATCATCGTTCTCAAACCGTAATAGATCTTGATCTCTTGAGAGTCCCTGATTTTCTCAACGCAACCTGACGACGATTCAGTCGGCGCATCTCCATCGTTGCCCCGCAGGAAGACTAACAATGTTGTGGTTAAGGTTGATAGTCAACGTTTCACTTGCGACTCGTATAATGTACCATGTCAAACGTGTATAATTCTGTTTCCACAAAAAAAACGATGTTATCGGACTACGGTCGTATGCCAGGACAAGGCCATGACTACTAAGCCAGGTCGAGTAGGCCCATGGTCTGGTGACCTACGATAGGTAGCGGCATATTGGGGAATTAGATGATTAGCATCCTTTCATCACCGTGAGGGACTATTCACTCTTGTTATCATTCCGTGGACCACCTCCAGTTAACACCGACTGCATTGTGGATTGGCATGTAGTTGCCACTTTACACGCGTAGGAGAGTAACATCGAAATGTAAGCAGCTCCGAGCCACGTATAACTCCCTCGCCAGTTGAGATTGTCTTCCATGCAGTCGTCTTGTCGGCGGCGTCACGTCTCGGATAGCACCCCTCGCCCTAGTGCCGGTACTTGCCTCAGTGGGGTGGGGCAGCGGCTGAGCCCAGTGGAAGGCAATCCATCAGAGGCCTTATGGAAGGCTTGGATACCCATGGAGGAACCATCAGGAACGGAGCTGCTACTAGGATGGTTGACCGAGAGGCTGGGCATGTGTAGCGAGTTCCCTTCGCACTAGTGCCCATCTTGCTCAGCCTGGCCAGCACAAGGAATGTCACGTGGGCCTAAGTCCACCGTTGAGGCGGTAGTGATCTTTGCTATGGGGTAAGTAGGGACCAAAGACGATACAGTGGGAGTTAGTCGACAGGCCAGTATCAGTCTTGGTTAAAAATCGTACTATCACAGGGACGATTGAATGTATGATGGGAGTGCATGCAATTACTCTGTTGTTTCTGGATACTCCGTGCTCGCTGTGCTTTAAGCCGCCGCTCTCCCCGTCAGCATAGACTCCCACTCATGCCGTCATCGCTGCCTTCGATGTGCCTCACACTCGTCTCCCTGGGCAGTCGCTCAGGCAAAGTACTATTCACTATAGCGACGAGAAGCTGCTCTACGGCTGCACTTGTCGGAGAGCGAGGTGGGCTCGGACTGAAGTCGTCGAGGAGTCGATCATCCTCTTGGCAGGTTCCCATCGGTTGGTAGTATCAGATGCCCCCAAGGGCCATGAGTACGATATTCAAAAGAAGCTGGTCAGATCCCTCCGCCGAGGCAGCGATGAGAGTCTCCTCTCTGCTCGAGGCTTCTGTAGGAACCTCACGGAGCTGCTCGTCGAGAGGCCGGCCAACATCAGGCTTGTGCGAGAGTTACTCTTTGAGCTTGGGCACAACCGCAAGTTCACCGAGGCCAATCGGGATGCAGTAGATGGTCTATGTGGGGTCTTGAGGAGACGGATCAACGACGACACCTTGTCAAGGGTCCAAGGACGAGCCCTCGGGGAGGTCGCGCTGTCCATCGGCAAGTTGGAACTACCATGGGTGGATGAGATGACTCTAATAACGCGGCATTGCACTGGCCGGATAGGGCTACAGTCAATGTCGGCCTCAGCTGTTGCTAATGTGGCCTATGGTGCAGCGAAGTGCGGTATAGCAGATGATACCTTCGTTGAAGTTCTGGCCTCTGATTGGTTGAGGAGACTCCATTCTCGTACGGACGAGGCTGTTGTAGAGCCTGCTAGCCACACTATGGTGCTGAGGAGTTTGGCGTACATGTTCGATGGTCAACAATGTGTTGTCGACCTACTTCGGGAATTCCCCCGAAGGGTTGACATCTCCTCGTTCAGTGACCATCAGAAATCCCAAATCGTATGGGCCGAAAGACGAGTTCTCCGAGAGGCTGGTAAGTCCGGTGACGCAACCCACGTAGAAACCGCTGATCTCGGGCTGGTCGATCTTGCTACTATCATGACGGCTTACGCACGGAGGCGTGAGGCACCCCCAGAGCACTTGAAGACTCGCATCCTCAGACTGGTATCATGCCAAGAACACGAGTTGGACCCCCGCACCCTAGCTAACCTCAGCCGAGCGATAGGCAGTCTACTCGGGAGTCAGTGTGGGCATGGCCTCGACCAGCTGCTTGAAGCCGTGAACATCGCCATGGTGGAGTGCACTGGGCCCTTGGCCTTGTCGGATGTGGGCAGCATCCTCTGGGCAAGTCTCGCCTCCCCATCCCCCAAACTCACTAGGCTTGCTTCCATACTACTAACAAACGTCGATGAGGGCTCGTTGGCAGCCGCGAGGCCCCAGGTGCAAGCTCCAATCCTATCGGGCATTGTCGGGCTAGGACTTAGCCAGGACTTCCCGACACTGGTCAAGAGTATTGCAAATGTTAATGGTCTGAGGACCGACTGGACTGATGACGACGTGAAAGGTGTATCTCAGCTCGTCGGGCCGATTTCGAAGCTTCTTGGTACACAGAATCAAGTGATAGCCATCGCCGACTGGGTGGGGTCGGTCAAGGCTGAGCTCTTGACCCTCTCGGTGGCTGGGAGAATCTTTAGAGGAATTGCTAACGCGACCAACCCTCGACAGATCCTAACAGAGTTCCCTGAAACAGCCTTGAGATTTGCAGATGCCGTAGTTGGTCGCTGTAAGCAGCTAGAGGGGGCAGCAGGAGCGGACCTTGCCGACTTGACGTCCATAATGTGGGGTCTCGCCACGGTACGTTTGTCCCATTACGAGCTACAGGAGAGATGCTGCTTGTTGGCTGCTAGTGTTCTCCGGCAGCAATCTACGGAAAAGGTCCGCAACCATCTGGCGGTATTTTTGTGGGCTCTCACGGCGAACTCTCATCGAACTGAGGCTGCACATGAAGTCCTCCGAGGTGCTTCAACTAAGCTGTCCACTCAGGACCTACCCGTGCTGGCGTGGGCTATGGCAGTCCTTGACCATTTCGACGAGAGGCTCTTGCGAGATGTCCTCAGCCGCTGTGCATCAGCCTCTTTGCAATCCGCTGCCCTCATTCGTGTGCATAGGGCGATTGAATGGGCAGCAGTGCAATACGGCTTTCAGCTACTCAGTCCCGACGAGCATGCCCTGGCCGCCAGGGCTGCAGCTGAGGCACGGAGCAATTCCTTGCCGACCAGTAGCTCCTTCCAGGACGAGATCTTGAGAGAGCTGGAGCCTCTCGTGAGCGAGGTCTACCCTCATTGGGATGTGGTCTCTGAATATGATTTGTCGGCCAGTCTCCCTGGCATTGTATGTGATATCGCTCTGGTCGACAGGACGTCGAGGCAGCCTACATTACTAATAGAAGCTGACGGTGCTGCTCACTTCGTCCACTGTGTAGACAGTGATGGCTCACGTCATGTAGGGTATGACGGCAAAACTGAACTCTTGCGTCGTATTGTGAAGTTGCATGGGTATCGCCTCCTCTCTATCGACACTAATTCATGGAAGTCCACTCTGCGTCCTGACCGTGAGGAGTTGCTCAAAGGGTGTATCAATTCGACGCTGGCCAACGGTGGAAACACGTTTCTGGATTCTGTTTCGGCATGAGTCAACAGTTGTTGCGTTGTCAGTAGCAGAGTCGATCCCGGCTATGTGAGAGGGGCACAGCCGACTGTCGGTTAGTGTCCACCGTCCAGGGTTCCTCTGGTTTTGTATGGATTCTGCAGTCGATGACTTCTCCTACCAGAACGATGGGATACCACCTTGTCGCTTGCCGCTAGTTTATCAACAGAGGTTTCGCCGTATCGAGGACAGATTGCGTCGGTTGACAGTTGCTTTGAAGGAACAGAGACTGTCATCGCCAGCAAGTACTCCTACTGGAAGCCCTCCTAGACCGCGTGAGAAGCTCACCATAGTGCTGTCCCCCAACGATGCACCGCGAGAACGGCCACGATCGATTTACCATAAGGCATGCATCCCTGCAGCCCCGTCTCTTCCACTCAAGGTAACGTCAGCGGACAGGAAGTATCGGTCACCGACTCGAGCGAGGAAAGTACCCGAATGTCGTATAGATCTATCTCCGTATCTCATCGGTTCGACGAGACCAGAAGATGGCGATCTGAATCGAGCTGAGTCGGCCCCGCGCCTCTCCGTGGAAAGCGAACGGATATTGGCAGACTTGCATGCGATGGATGAACGTATTGCAAACATCGAGCGGGAAGTGAAAGGACCACTCCGACGAGGAACTCCCCGAACACGTGATGCATTCGTGGAGGATTCAGCGAAGCAAGGTAACACTGTGGCCGTCAAGATGCTCCCGAGCCTGCGAACTCCCACTAATCTCTTGTCTAAAGGAGGATTGAGTGATAGAAGGCCGACCACACGAGACAAGAACCGTCAAGCGTCGACTGCAGTCTCTGAGTCACGACCACCCAGCTGGAGAGAACTAGCTGCAAGTTCTGCCGAGGGGGCAGTGTCGACGCCCAGTGGCACTCCAAGACCATCCGAGAATGTCCTACTCGCTCCCCGACTTGACACATCTCACCCTCGTCCCGGGCAGATAAGGAGAATCAGAGGTGTTTAAGGCTTATACCATTAACATTGAGTTGCCCTGTTGTGTTGTTGGGGTTATCGCTCGAAACTCCGACCTCAAGTGAGCGGGATTGATCCAAATATAGGACGTGTGGCCGGCGTATGTGCCGTATATCATCAAATCAACTCCTATCTTATGCGGTATATCATAGTACACGTTGAGATTAATATCCCCACTAAGTAAAACACCACAAAAGCGTTCGCGAGACAATCAGATAACGAACTCGTCGCTGTTAAGGTGGGCGATTAAGCCACTCACATCAAGAGGTTTAATCGGCGTCCGCCCTCGCCGCGACCGTCGTCGTTGGGATGGAGACTGCTCCGGAGACTGCTGCCAGCATTCTAGTCTGGGGCTCGAACGTGGCCACATCTTCTCGAGAGTAGCCCTCAACATATCCACAACAGCTCTAGGAGGAGCAGACGGGTCGTTTTCACCGGCGCTGTGCATGGAGTCCTCGAGGCAGTCCATGACCTGTGATGATGCAATACAAGTCATGCTACTGATGCACACCGTGTACTCACAGATCTTAGTTCGAGTAAACGCTGGCTTGCTGACGATCGAACGGGTAAACTATCAACACCTGAGAGACGAAGCATCACAGAGGTCTGGCCGAGCCACAGTGACCTTCTCGGACTGCTCTCAGAGTCCGCGTTATCTCAATCTTCATCTCCCCTGATCCACTCATCGTCCTCCGCGATCTTGGAGGCCGAGCGTCGGTGATGCCGGTGGGCTAAAAATGACGTAATTGATTGAAGAAAAAGCCCCCGAGTTTTGCTCACACGATCGCGCTTGGCTGCCGTTGGAGGAACGACTTCTTCAAGCATGTCTTCTATTTTCCACGCTACTTGTCCGAGCGTTTCCCACTCATTCCAAACTGGTATGCCTCCTGAAATGCAACCAAGCCTCGGCCTACTGCAATTCATACAGCATCGACAACTGCCGAACGCCACGGAGTAGAACATGGACCTACCGCCGCGAACACAATCACAGGGTGCTGTAACAACTTCATCCTCAGGTGGTAAATGGGATGAAGTCGAAGGCCGACTGCCTGGATCAGGGGGACCAGATGATATCGAAGTAGAGTTCCTAGTGAGCATAATCGAATGAAGCACGCCGAGCATCGATGTTGTTTCCTACGGCTCGGCTTGTTGTTCACAACCTCGATGAACGCCCTCAGATAGTCGTTGACCAACAGACTCATCTTCCTGCCGGGCATTGGCGAGATCCATCATGAAGTACTCCACTTCTTCTAGCTTGTCCTCTTGCTGCATCTGGAAAGTAGCCACTTATAATAATGGAGATCTTAAAACGACCACCTGCTGCCGTTCCCACTCCTCGCAAAGTTCTCTGGCCATCCGGAGCAGCTCCGGTGGTAGGCAGGCAGACGGAGGCAGAGGCACTTCATCATTGAGGAAGCTCTCCAGAACGTCAACTGACAACATCAGTGTTGGAATATATGTTCGTTCTCCTCACCTCAGCTGAGCGCGAATTCACGTAGAAGCGCACAGAAACGAACAGAAATTCACGGGAATTCTCATATTGTAACCAACACAGGTAGTTGACAAGGTGTATATTTTCCCACACTCGAGAGCAGCGAGCCACTCGCGCGATCATCCAAAGAAGCCGCTCAATATCACCTTCAAATTCGCTGAGGTCTTCTCCAGCCTTCTCTCGGTTGACCAGCCCCATTATGGCTCGTTGTCGCTGTCGAGCTCTCCTCTTCCGACGACGCTTCTTGGCCGCCTGTTCACACGTAACTCTTCTCAACCAGCAGCCTTGCTCCCCACCCTACCTTGCTCAATCGTGTAGGCTCCTCTGGAGAGTGAGTCCCATGGGAACTGTCTGGGGATTTGGGGGACGCAGTTACAGCCTCTCCCACTACAGGCTCGTCATCATCGATTACAATGACCGTACTAGAGGGGGAGTTGTCGCTGCAGCTCAGTCGTAGGGATAAGGCTGGCTCTGACAAGGCGGAAGTCTACACCTTCCAGTGATCTATTAGTCGGAAAATTCTCTTATTCCCGTATGCAAGGGCTTCATATACGCGAGCGAGGACGTTAATTTGGCGCTGGAATTTGGAGAAAACATCAATCAGGCCAGTGAGGGGTTCTGGTTCAGCAGTCAGCTGAACCTAATAGCCAGGAGGATTTCTTGTATGAGACACTCTAGCACCACCGAGATCCGGAGCCCGAACGCCGAGTAGATTTCTGCGTATATAAGCCAACGAGCGATACAAAGCCTCTCTTACCATCCTCGGCCACTTTCTCATCACCAGTCAGTATCGTGGGCTTGTCTGCGGCCTGAGATAAACCAATAGCGGCATCCCCCAAGAGAAACTTATGCGGTTGTACAATACTTGACGCCCTCCCCTCTCCCCTCCTGCTGAGACTGTGGCTTTCGTAACGTGAGCAGACTTCTCGCAGGTAGGATATACATCGGGTCCCTAGACCACGACGAGGTACTCGGGCCGCCTATACTCCGTCATTCCTACCGCCCTAACACCACCACTTGATACAGGCAAGCCGCTGGGCTCTTGTCGCTCTTCGGCAAGCTCCAGAAGTGTCCTGACCTTCTCGTTCAGCGATGATACCGCCGAGCCGTGGTCCTACAGCTGAAGCTGCAATTGATTTGTTTACGAGTTGCCTACTGCTAGGGTTTGTTCCAAGAATATGAGCTCGTTAATCATCCACTCAGCCTCCTCATAACTGCTTGCCGAATCCTCGCGAGGAGGAGGAGAAGAAGGCCCCAAGGCCAACTGGGCCTGCAGGCAACAGTACCGCATCGTGTATGAGAGTGCAGGCTTACTCTGATACCATCTACTGCTGATATCGCCCCAAGAAGGCCCTGCATGAGGTTGCTACATGCCAGCCGGGACAGCTGCTGGAGCACGGTGGTCTGAGGAGGCAATTCCCCTATTCTCGAGAGAGGGCCTGGGTGATGGAAGCCTACCGTAGTGGGAGAGCTTCCTGCACCTCCGCATCGGGGAGAATGGTGCTTAGCCATAGAGGACGTAGAACTGTTTCCAAGAGAATACACCAAGAGCCGACACAGCAGCACTCAACAGGTAAAATACTCAGTAGCTACTCGCAGTACTCTAGCTAGATGCTCAGGAGGAGCCTCTAGTAGTGTTGGTTGTAATAATCACATACACACAATGGTGCAAGAAGACCAAGGGGCTCTGCGTACTCCCACCTTGGCAACTGGCTACCAGGCATAAGGGGAGGAGGAGGGAGAGGAGGGGCCAGTGGAAAAACACAGAGGTGAGCAGAGATGATCGAGACGTTCCGAACAGAAGGGGGGTCGGCGGCGGCGGCCGACTACTACTACATGGTAACTATTCAAGCTGCGTCAACGTTGGTACTGCAAACGGTAGCAGTGGTAAGTCAAACAGTAATGCACTCGTGGCCTTCTCATATCCCTACTCACAGGATGACGTACTCCTGAGGAAGATATCGACTATACACCGTAGTTGCCCATAGTACTACTTGGGGCCCACTCGAGTCCTCCGGGAGTTGAACCCTCCTCTCACAATAACTTCTGCCGTCTGCCTTGCCCCCGGACACCCTAACGTTGGCCCTTGCATAGTGCTCCTCAGGGATGGACACGTGCTCCCATGGCCGAGTGTAGACGAAGCGGAGTTGGCAGTCTCCAGGCCTTAGTGCCTGATCGTCTCTATGTGGGGTCAACCACCGCCGCCCTAATGTGTTGTACTTGATAATAAAAATAATAAATGCCGCCGGTGCCCACATACCCTGCAGGGTGAGGATTCACCTATATAATGAGAGGCACGGATTCGATCAGGAGGGCCGAAACCACACCTTGAAAATTTGGGCTAAGAACCCTACGACCTTTAAGGTCTCCTCTATACCATCTCCTGTAGATCTTCGTTCGAGTCCGTTATTGGATGATGACGTCCGACCGTTGAGGCTTTCGAGAGGCCCTCCGAGAAGAGGGATATTAGTGATAGTGTTCTGACCCTCAGGGCTACCACGACGGTGATCAGCATCCTGCCAGCTGTAGCCGGTTGTTGGATTCCCAACCAGTGATATCTCTATGACATCACCTGATAGTAGCCGATATAATCGTTGGTACTGTAGAGGCTCATTAACTACTCACCGACATTAACTGTGAGGTTGACCACCGACCCAGGCGTTAGTTGATGACGGAGTATTCCCGTCACAGGCCTAGGTAGGTCGTGGCCCCTGAGGGCCTCTGGAAGGACAACCTCGGTGGAAGCCTCAGGGGATGTGCCGGGAGGGGAGGAGGATGAGGACGGCTTCGCCCAACAGCCCTGCCCCTTCCTCCAATCGACTCCCCCCAGAAGGAGGAATCCCAGAGGGAATCGTGATAGGAGGGTCACCATACCGAGAGAGGTACAACTGACCATTGTGGTGATGATAACGAGCGAATTCCACATGCCCCCAACCACAACACTGAGGTTGTCCTCTGCTGAAAAAATGGAAATAAACAAGACGACAAGTCGCCGGCTATCCCGGCTGTGTTATTCCTTTGGTCACCTAAAAAGGACCTCAAGCCAACATCAAACAGGATAATATCCACCCCGACTACCTTCTCCTCATCCCTCCTCTAAGCCACCTCTTCCTCCTCCTCCTCAGGCTGTAAGACTATCCCCCCCTTAGAGTTCGACCTCCCCTCCTTCCGCTGACACTGAGTGCGAGCCTGAGGGCACACACAACTACATGTCAAACCTCTCACACATGACGGCGTAGTGATGATCACGACTGGACTCAGTAGAGGCCTTATGTCGCACTTGCGATCCCTCCGGAAGTTGATCGTCGTCCACCTCTTTCCCGTAATACGAACCTCTTCCATCTGCGGCGTCATCCGATACCCTCAAGTTGGCCCTAGTGTAGTCCTCCTCACGAACCGAGGCGTGCTCCCATGGACGAGTATAAACGAATCTAGCTTGGCAGTCTCCGGGGTTTAGCGCCTGATTATACACGAACGCCTATGCGGGATCGGTTGCCATGAGATTAGCCCTACTTGATAATAAAAATGATGAGTGCCGCCGCTGCCCACAAACCCTTCAGGATGAGGATCCGCCTGCACGGGAGGAGGTATGATGTAGATCAGAAGAGGAGAAGGAGGAGGAGGGCACTATACCTTATAGTCTTGGGTTAGGAATCCGACGACCCTTGAGGGATCGTCAATGTTGTTACTGCTGCCTTGAGTAGCCTCAGCTTGGGTACTACCCTCAGCCTCAGGGTGATCAGCATCCTGCCAGGTGTAGCCGGTTGATGGATTCCCAACCAGTGATATCTCTATGACTTCACCTGATAGTAGCCGATATTATCGTTGGTACTGTAGAGGCTCATCAACTACTCACCGACATTAACTGTAAGGTTGACCACCGACCCAGGCGTTAGTTGATTACGGAGCATTCCCGTCACAGGCCTAGGTAGGTCGTGACCCCTGAGGGCCTCTGGAAGGACAACCTCAGTGGAAGCCTCAGGGGATGTGCCGGGAGGGGAGGAGGATGAGGACGGCTTCGCCCAACAGCCCTGCCCCTTCCTCCAATCCACTCCCCCCAGAAGGAGGAACCCAACTATAAAGTAGCGTGGTAGCATGACCATACCAAGAGTCCAACTGACGAGGATAACGACCCGATGCTCCACAACTAGCGCAACAGTCTGCCATCTACTGATAGGAGAAAAGGAAACACCCAGGATATTCCATATGCAATTTCACCCACGTACTTTGGGGGTCCACTCACTAACTCTCATTCACTAGATTGTATACTCACCTGAGCCAACTATTCACCCGACATGACTCGCAACACTCCCTGAGCTCACCCCCACCGATTTCCTCCTCATCGACCATCTTTCCTATTCCTTCTTATCAGAAGGTAACCCAACCTCCTCAGGACGGACCACCACCGCGCCCTCAGCACTAGCCTTGGCCTTTTGTACTTGCAACTGGAACTTCCTTGCCTAAACACGATCCCGGAAAATTAAACTTCAATCAGGAGCGGCTGAGAGCAACCCTCACCGTCTCCTCTCGGGCCTTCTCGTTTTCCTCCTGTATTTTATCCATGCGAGCCTTCAAGTCCTCCGTTGCCTTCCTCTCCAACGGCTCCAACTCCCGACGTTCTTGACGGATCTCCGCATACCTAACATGGAGTTGTGATAAATCCCAACCGACCGGTGACACCAGGCCTACCGCGACCGAGAGGTGGGTGTGCCGAAACTAGTCTTGAGATAGGACGATATCATCTTGAAAGTGTTAGCATCCGATTTAGCTGGTGAGTACGTCTGCAGTAAATACACCATCCTGAGCCCTCCAGGAGATGGACCCACCTTGATCCTCGAGGCATGGGGCTCCCAGTTGTATCTCATGTACTTCACCTTAGGAGTCTTACCCTCCATCTTAGCAGCAACCTCCCACCCTTCACCGGCGTACCTACCAGAACACTACGACCGATGCTGAGCCCGAGAGCAGCAAACCTCTGAATGTTGAGGAGCATCAGAGCTTCCGTGCCCCCGAAGTCCTTCTTATACCAACTGAAAATTTTGTTGAGATGCAAGACGTTGTTGTCCGCGTCGTATCGAACTTGGTTTTCGTCTGTTACCTACCGAACAAGGCAGCAGGGTAGTCGAGCCAAGGGCTGCAGGGCAACCTACAAAATTCCTAGCAGCTTCAGCGGCCACAGACTCCCATTTACTGTCGTTCATCTTGGCAATGGACACTGCAGGAGGGCAGCTTTTGGCCCCACAAGAGAGAAGGAAGTGAACTCGAGGATCGGCATAAATCGGATCTACAGCGACGACCATTGGAAGCCCATCGAGAGTAATGCTTACTGAGTATGAAGCCTCTCCTGGGGTCGGCCTTGCCCATGACTCGTAAGAGCTCTCCAGGCGGCGGGTACTGGTTACCCCTCAGTATAGCGTGCTCTATGTCGCGTAAAGAGAGCAGGAAGCCTCCAACATCATATGTGATGCTCGTGAAGAATCTGAGATGACAGCCATATGCCCGCCACGTGTCGTGCCGCCTCCCTCCGTTACTCCCATCGTGTATACGTGGGTGCATCAGCTGCCACTGTCCCCAAGTCGGCCATAGCATGGTCAACCATAAGGTGGTAGAGAGCTATCATGAAGCGACGCCAGAACCTACAAGGAGTGATAGCGATCGTCGATCAGAGGGAACTCCTTCTTACTCGGGTCGCTCTTGGGCTACTTTAAAAAGAATAGAATCGGCAGACCCCTCGGAGCTGCCGCAAATGACTTGGAGTATGCAAGTGAGCTCTTGGAACCTTCCACGACAATAACCCCATCCCTATACAACATACAACGCATACCTAAGGTACTCGGGGTCCTCGGCCAGCAAGAGCCAGTCCGTGACGAGATTCTCCTTGTCGTCTAGTTTGGAGTAGAAACCCTGAGAGGGTCCCTGACGGTCATCACAGAGGCCCCTAGGCCCCTACCTTTAGACGATTCATACGCTTCGTCAGCTTGACGATCACATCCTGCATTTGGGATACCGCCTCATCGACACCACCAACTTCAAATGGAGCCCCGGAACGCATGAACCGGACAGAGTTGAGCACCTGTCAGAATACCAGCATAGACCAAGACCAGATTGAGGGGACCTACATGAGGATGCAGATGGTAGACTAGACTGTAGTCGTACTCTGGTTCGAAGCGTTCATTCTGAACGAGGACCAGTAATGTTGAGGAAGAAGGCGTCTTTGATACCTCGTGAACTCCATCAGTTTTAACCATGACGAGATCGAGTTTGGCGAGCTCCTCACAGAGTATAGTCGCATCTTGCTGATTCTTCAGCTGACCAAAGCATGCTTGATTCAGCGTAATTGCGCCTCCCTGCATACACTGAGGTTCCTCTTGAAGGCATCGATCATATACTGGCCAGGGAACACAGCATCTATCTCAGCATCTCGTTCGAGGGAGGCGCCCAGAGTTCGAACAATGTTCACCACCAACGCCGACCAACTGCCAGAGACCACCAAGTGAGGGACCACAGAGCGCCGGGATGATGACGACGAGGAGCTCACCTCCATTCCTTCTCCATGAACAGTAGCTTCGGTAGACTCAGACCGTCCTCTACCGGTTTGATGTATTCCACAGGAGGGGCCTTCGCAGGGCCGGCCGACTCCTTGCCGCTTTCCTCAGCTGGGGGGCTCGACTGGGGCATCACGAATATTGGACCTTTTTGGCCTGTATCGGACTTTGGGGACATGAGAAAGAACTAAGAGACTAACGCCGCCTTGGATGCGATAACCGAGTAGTCTACCGTACAGGAGGCAGAAGACCACGATAGAGAACTAATGCTGGAACCGAGCGGATCGCATCCCTTAGTTCCACGCTAAACCCAAGTGAACAAGAAGCAACTGAAACTGGTGAGGAATACATGGCGGCCTATGAGACTTCCTTATTCATGGTACTCATGATATAAAGACAATACAAAAAATATGCCGCTATCATAGAGCATCCGGTGATACCTACGCAGGGCGACACCGGTGAGACAGAACTGTCCTTCCTCGTACACCTCACGTGTGAATCTCATCCTGCTAAGTTCACCAAGGCCGGCCAAAGCTATGAGGATTGCGATCAAGGCTAATACGGTCTCATACTGAGGGCCTGAACACGGCCACTAGTGAACGACGAGGGCATGGCCTACCTGATAGGAGGGCGCCACCTCCAAGGGCTACTGGCAACGCTAAGGCTAAGTACATGTTACGAAGACCATAGGTCAGGACGTCCCCCACTCTGCATGGTTAACTGACAGACCCATTCGAGCAGACTTTTGAGGGAGGAACTACCATACCTGTAAAGGCGGAGGGCCGTGGTGCTGCTCCATAGAGTTCCCATGTTCAAACCGATTGGATACACCGTCAAGCTCAGCAAGGACAGGGGAACCTCAGAGGCCTCGGCTATGGTCATCAATGCTATGCATGAGGCCAAGGATAGTCCCTAAGGGGTGCCGCAGTCGCCGTGGAGTTGCGATATCGGACACGTACTGCGAGCCAGACTAGGGATATAGTGACAGCGACTAGGCTGCGAGATCCCCCTGTAGGGTGGCCTGAAGCCCAGGCTCCGATGGTGAAATATAACGGTAGATCAACGGGCGCCGCTAGCACATACCGCACCTGGACGAGCGTCTAGAAAGGTAAACGAGGTAGCTCCGTGCCTACCCTTCTAAACCACAGTAGCATAGCACTCCCCTTCCCTTCACATAAGGGTGCACGACTCGAACACCTGGTATAGTATGCTCGACACGCATAGTACTGCTGGCTACTTACAAGAACATGAGCAACCTCATGTACAGGGGTACATCATCAGCGACAACTTCGATGTTCCTATCGCTGAGTCTACTCAGAATGGCGTTCTTTGACTGAGGCGTAACGAGGTGTGCCACGACTCAGCAGAGGCCGACCCCACATCATCATCCAAGTCAGAGACCATGACCATGGATATGTCACCGAGCTCACTGCAGATGAACATCTCTACACCAGAATGAGGCCTTCTAACGTCTCGGACGACAGCTATTCGAGAGGAGGCGATCGTCCACCAGCCGACACCTCTGAGGAGGAGCGTCACTCCAAAGATTATGCCCGATTAAAGGCTACGTCATAGATCGTCGACCATCACTCACGATGATGTCCGAAGCGACGTCCGAGGCTACCACATATCCAGTAGGCTGGGGCGGGAGGTCACTGTCGAATACGGGGGAAGCAACTGGACAGGGGGAGGGTACCAAGACCATATGTAGATCAGGGCCGTCTCACACAGTAGCCCCGATGGCTGCACCTCATGCTCCTTGCTAAAGTGTAACTGTATACGGCACAACAGTGAGGAGGCAGCGATGGCCCACAATACATCATTATAGCTGTCCCATGAGGGGGCACGACGACAATCACACATCTTCACGGAGTACAAGTCGATACCGTGGGAACTGAACTGACGAGAGAAGGCAATACCAAGGGAGTCATGTAGAGTGCGGTCACCTGCAATAGCCGCTGCCTGCATCGCCGCAACGAGATGTCATATACCCGATCTCCATGAACAACCTGATCGACATGGTGGGACGCGTCACGTTCGGGAGCAGTGATGACTTCTATCCCCACAGCCCAGCTGTGATCGTCCCTGCCTAGTAGCGGTGGAGCCAAGCATGACCCTTACATGAGCATGTACCAACAACAGAATAGATGTAACTCACGATGATGGGTCCGCGATGGCTTACGACAGCCATTAGAAACTGTAAGAAGGCCTAGGCAGACCCCTATGATAAGCAGTAGCCACCACCACCACCAGGCACCGTCAGAAGGGCTCTCCCGCTGGCCCAGCACTATCACGACCTAAACGATTGAGGGCTGCTACTGGGATGCACGCTAACATACCAAGCCTGCTAGATGAGCGATAATAGGGTTGATGATAAAGGACCTGGTGATCTCTCGAGAGTTGCCTTCCTGAACCAGGATCACCGCACCCAGCACTACGCATGTGGTGAACATATTGCCTCCTATCACACACCCTGAACAGGACCACATCCCATAGAGGACTGATCAATGTATAGCTTCCTTACCAATACCAATACTTGGCCTAGCGATGAACCAAGCGGATATGGTCGTGCACAGCTCCGGCCCAACGGACCCTAGGGACACCAGGAAGGAGCTCAAAGGGGCCCTCCAACCACCCCTCAAGCCGAACCCTTGCACAACGCCCTAACGAGGGAGACGGAAAGGGTAGATGATACCGCCGCCAGCCTTACCCGACACACTGGGAGGAGGTGCTTATCCGATATACTATACTGCCCCTTGAGGCCGTACCTAGTGACAGATACTACCACCATCGAGGTAGAGGGGATACCACTACAGAAGGAGTATACACCAGAGACAGAGGCTCCATCGACTGGACCCCTCATCATCACTATCGGCGGCTAACTCCATCAAAGAAGACGGATAAAGAAACTCTATGTAGGAGGCTACAAAACTATAATGCTTCTCCAGTTACGACGAGATGCCCATCTACGTCCTCATTGGCGACCCACACAAAATGGTCGGCGCTGCCAAACGTCTAGTTGGATCAAGAAGACAATGACGGGAAAGAGGCAATCCAATCGCTGGTGGATCAGCCCGTTGTTACAGTAACGCTTATAAGCACGGCTGAGACTACTGCATGACAGTTTTGCAAAATGGTGGTAGTACGCGGGCCGCCAAACACGATTGGACAGAAAAACATAACAGGTACATAGCCCAGCAGAAGAGGTTGAATGGGGCACCGCTGACATCCATTACTCTCCAGACCAACCTCCCGTCATTATCGGCGTTCAGATGCTGGTACAGGAAAAATGATCCCACTGGCTATAACAAGACCTCGGACCCCCCGCAGATGCTTTCCCATCACTAAAGCGAGTAACCAAACCCCCTTATGAAGGGCACAACTACTCGGCTATAAGATGCCTGTTCTCACTGCAGATGTCTCGGCGTCGACGACCATCAATATGAACGCTGTTACCCACGATCCATGAGAGTACCATCATTGAGCATAGCAGTTTCTACCGATACCTTCCCAACTCGGGAACAGGCATCAAGGCATGTGAAAGTAATAGTACAACTGCTACTATCATACCTCTCTGGTGAACACAAACCATACCTAAGGTATTCCATCCGATAGAAACAGTCTCGCAAGGCCGGCCCACAAGGGCCTGCACTCTAACCCCTAACATAATGAATCTACTCCTCAGCCGCCACAACTCTATGCCCGGCCAAGAGTTGATCGATATAGTCCGCCCCCTGCTGCTCCCTGAACTCATCAAGCATTTCCTCCCAGACCTTCTTAGCCTCTTCCTCCCCTCGAGGGGCGCCAGCCAGATGAGGGTCGATCGAATCATAGCAACGTGTACTTGCGTTCCACAGTCGAAGACCGCTGACCTACAAAACACATATTTCCCAGTTGCTCAGCAAGCCCTAGCTCCTTACAGGATGAGGCAGGTCAATGAGCTTGCCCGTGTTCTCATCTTCTACACGATAGTGGTCCATCAGATGCTCAGGGGTCGGGAACATGTGCCTGAGAGGACCATCCCAGTATGGGACAATAGCTCTGATAAGTACTTGTCGAAAACAGTAGTGACAAGCCCCAGCTGCAGCAATCGTCGAAATGCAGCCTCACACACTGGATGCTCCAACTGCTCTTTCCATATAGCTACAACAGAACAACATGTAGCACCACACACACATCATGCCTGACCCTCCCCTTACTAGTAGTATTACCAAATTTCTTATCCCTAAACTGCAATACTGGATCCAAGCTGACCTGGGACTGCCTCCATGTGTTATCATCCTTAAAGTTGTATTCCAAGAACCGTGTACAGGGCTCGTCCGAGTACCTACCGAGACTGCTACCCTCCCTCCAGCAGCTACTACTGCTCACATCACTTGACAGGTCCCCATTATAGGCGAGAGACCTCCACTACCGTCAACCACACAGACATACCTACACTATACCGTATCCCACCGTATCAATCACGACCTGATAGTACTACTCGACGATCTCGTCATCTGAATTCTGACAAGTGATAGCTACTCCCACCTTCCCTTTACTCTCTGGCTTGAAGGTATCGATATATCTCTAAGAAGAGGAAACCAATGTTAATCACATCCTCCAACACTAACAAGGTAGGGAAACTTCTACTACAACTAAGACAACCATGAACTAAGCGATGACCTATCAGGTTTACATATTTATATGCCTACTACTAATAAAATGATGGAGTTACGAAAAACACTAGTGAAAAATATATTCCACGATTACTATATACCGCGCATATCCGGTTTCTCACAGAATACTACGCCACTTTACACGTACTACTGAATGTTCTTATATTCATATCATTGGAGTTTCACCCGTTTCACGTCAAGTGAAATGTGAAATGTGAAATGTGTTATGTACTAGTGTTTCTCACATCACGGGTGAAACTCCATTGATATCTATATATTCGTAATTATATGGCCCCCCCTACAGCGACCCGAGACATTACCAACTGTCCCACCAAGACCCGTACTCACGAAAGACTCTCTCCTTTATAGACGATGCGGGCCACATGAGCTATTACCTCTAGCCTTTCCTTGTCTTGGGGTGACTCCATGATATGGTATTCCCCAACTTTCACTGGATCACCCATATCGTCCAGCAGTTGCAGCTTACGTACCGCCTCTTCAATTGAACCAGTCATTATTACTATTATAACAATAACAAAACTACTATGCAAATCTCCCTCTGATGTTAATGATGATACTCAACGCGAAGCGAAACTGAACTTAGTAACCTCATCTGGCAACAACAGATCATGCTGGTAGACGACACTATGTAAAGATCTACAACAGGGGGCATCAGCCTCATGCAAATGGGTATCTGGAATATTCCTCCTCATGTGCTAGCCAATATAACTCTTTACCTGAACCGTTGCTTCGACCGTTTTCTCCTACTCATAATGAGGTCCATAATGGACGTAAGCTGGGGAGTACAATTCATAACGAATTCCTCCTGTCGTAACTGTAGAGGCATATAAGTCCAGATCAGACACCATAACCTACAAGACCAGTGTGTTTATGCTTGTCCAGGAACTCAAAGATGTGTTCAGGATCCAGCAATCCCAAATGGAATATCATACTATCTCCCCGATCCTCAGCATCATCACCACAGCCCGAGTCAGATCCTTCACTGCGGCGAGACGTCAAGTATCGACACTCCTCACTACCAGAGCACGCTACTATCGGCGTTCCCGATCTGCCAACGTAGGTATAGCAGAGAGATCCCACAGTACTACCCAGTAACCCGTCCCTCATCGAATAAAATCCTCATGTCACTGAGCGTTATGAAACCCTTCGAGTCCTACGATGGGCACACTTGATAAAATGCCATCGTTCCTCTTAGTACAACATCCATTTTTTTGAAGGCCGCCCTAGCAATAGCCGCTGAAGTGGCGAAAGTGTTCTTTGCCAGTCTCAATTCACGAGCTGTTCGAGTGAGCTTCTGCGATTCTTGTTGGCCCAATACGCCCAGCCCTGACCGCAGTACCAGACGCGCCTGCATGCACAAGTACTCTGACCTCCATGATAGGGGACTAGGGGCTATAGTACATCTTCGAATTCCATTTGGTGTTCTAGGTCACACTCAAGGCGCTCCAGGGCAGCACTGAGAGAACTAAGAACAGAGGAAGAGCTATTCAAGCAAGGTCCAGTGAGACTACACACCCAATAACACCATCGTCTCCCTTAATACGAAGCTGGATATCGGCTGCCCACTCACGTAGCGAACGAGGAGTGTCCGCTTCAGGGGAACTCCCAAGCGGAAGTAACGACCTGGTCAACCTTGAAGCGACGTGTGAGAGAGGAACCGGCGTGAAGCGGCAAGTATAGTGATAGTACCTCTTTGTCGCACGAGAGGCCTCACTACTACCGTCCTTCTCATCACCACCCAGTTCACTTCTAATGGCCCCAATGGTCTACGAACAGGCAACATCACCCATGTGCATTCCCAGATCGATCCCCAGCCCCTCACATCTAGGGCCAGTTTCTGATGCATAAGCATTTCATGACAGCTCCTGATTTGCTCAGAAAAGGCAGTAAGCCGGTCTCCCTCGGAGCCTGATAATCACCAGCATGATACTGGAAACACTTCGATACAGCAGCATCACCCAAGTCGACGCCTCTCCCTCCAGACCGTATTGGCACCACAGGCAGTCTGCTCGATAACTTACCAGTGCCGATACAGTACATGGAATCAGATGCCCTACAAGGCAGCTCACACTGAGGACGGCTCTGTCTTCCTACCCTTCAGCGTGACGACTACGATAAAGCCTCCTGTCGGGTACACAGAAATCACATCCTAATTGCTTGACGAAGTCCTCCATATAGGCGTCATGGGCTGAGCTTAGGTTACCCATGATCACTGGGGGAAAAGGGCTGTCCTCAAGAGCCAGATTACAGATCCAAACGTAAGCGTACCCTGTCCGATCCCGAGGATGCCTCATAGAATAATTTCGTGGCGCGTGACAAAATCTCGGCGCGCCCAGGGTAATATACCAATCGGGCAAGAGGGTAAGCTCTCTCTGCGCGAGTTTTACTCCAACATGCCAGTCACCTTGCTTAACGCGGGCCCACCATTATTTCCAACTCGACAAACCCGGGGGCTATGAAATGATACCGCGAGGTCCCGATGGGAAATGGAGCCATGATCTCTGCCACGAGCAGATCCACAACCGTGATTTAACTAATCAAGGGATGCACAACCGCTAACACTAGTCTGAGAAATATCGTATATTCTGGCTGCATTCTGCGCTCGAGTATTTGCGTCTCCTAGCACTTCGCTCTCCCCACGTATAACACTCTCAGACATGTCGACTGGCCGGTAAAAGACCGATTCTGCGAAATCGGCAAGGCAGCTCACTGCGCACAGATGGCACCATGGCTAGTGATGGAACTGTTCATTGGGTGAGGGTATGATCTTCCCATTTCGGATTCGTAACTCCAACCTAGCGCGTCCCGACGGAATTGATAGTTTCAAAGACATGCTACACCTTTTCCCGTGCAAGTTCGACAGATGAGCAGGCAAGAATGATAGTGTTAGAAGCGTTAAAACGAGGCGCGATTCTCCATGGGGTCCACCTGGCTACGGCCGCAGAGAGGGCTTCGGCCTCCATGAGCAAGGTACCAAGTCCCACACAACTCGAAAATCTAGGGCACTTGCCCCTTGCGGTCTGGAATAGATTCAATTGCGATGCCACGCTCCAGGCGGATCCTAGGTATAGGCCAGCACATCATCGGTAAAAACTCACTAATGCTGAAGTAAAGTGAGTACGGTACCGGAGACTACAGACTGTCCCGCACCACCGTAATCACCGTATCGGTGATTATCTATAACCCATCAGGTAGGGTACCACGCTAAGTTGGAGCCCATCGGCCACAGCGCTGTCCCCCCGTGGGGTATGCAGATCATGAAATAACTCTGAAGAGGTCAGACGTATAATTGATAAGCCTCCTTTGGAGAGCCTTCTCGTCATCGAGAGATGGGGAGGGGGTTCCACTTGAGTTGGAGCATGTTTTCTAGGCAATTTTTGCTGCCCAGCTTGACTGACGCAACTCAAACTATAGTTAATGAGGGTGAAAACCCATGTATAACACTGTAGTCGCCGATTAGACCAAAATCTTCTGACAACCTCCACAATAATCTAACTAAATCTTGATGCCGACTAGAGGCCGCCCCTCGGAAGAGGTGTGGCCCCTGTCGTTGTTAACCTTCAACCTGTGGAAGGCTCAAAGTAAATAAAAGCATAAGTGTGAACCAAACAATGGACTCGAGAGTAGACATCTCATAGACCCTGGGCACCAGGCGAAGGGCTGAAAACACAAGCACATACGCTCGATCAACAGATGAGGAGGACGAGTTTAAGACCAGCAATCCAAACTCACCGAGTGACATGAAATTCCGCATACTCCCTCGGTGGCGGAGCAAGAAGGCATGAGCATATATCCGTGTTTTGGGAGTGGGCAGTCGCTTGCCTTGTTGCACTTGACGGTGCAAAACACACCAAAACGACCATTATCCTGAAATAAGTACACATCAGTATATCTCCCGGACATCACATCTAGTCAGATTCTAGTGATCACAGCGGAGCGAAGTTACACTCACCGAGAAGTAAACCGGTTCAATTCCGTTCGGGCAATAGCAATCCTTGAGGGAGCCGTCTTTCACAGTGCATGGGCCGGTAGGCTTGACGTAAGGATCTGCCATCAACCGTTCCAATACTAGTTCTCCCAAAACAGTCGATACTAGTAGCCGTCATTCCTCCCCTACCGTTGTCGCCCCACGTGGAGGAGTTCCCGAATTTATCCCTATCCCCAAAAGCGCAATGAAGTAGGAGAGTCATGGTGAGCGAGTAATGCATTCTGGGCAGATGCTAAAAGTTGCTAAAAGAACTGATTGGATCACATTGTAGCGCCTTCTTGGTCAAGACAAGCACCACTGGTGAACAACACAACGCTGGCATCGACGCTAGGTGATGAGCTACTCATCAGAAGAGGTTTACCACTCGCTATTAAAGTCCAGTCCCGTCATGACGCTACCAAAAAAGATCACAGAAGTCTCCCTCATTCCGGAGTCCTTCCGCTCTACCAACATCGATCAACTGACGTTTTTCACGCAAGACGCTACAAAGAACGAGCTTCCGCACAACTATTCGTAGCAGATCCTTGTGAGTGAAATGCATTGGGCACACAGTGCGCACGAACAACAACTCTCATGTGCGGCATAGTTGTTGTAGTACATAACTACAAGTGACCAAAGACGTTGCTGATACTATGACTCAACCATCAAGTACTGGTCAAAGGTCATGAGATTAGAACAGTTCCACAATGAACTTAACTCGTAGAACGCCCGACGCACGGAACGTCACGTGACCACGTGACGCCGCCCTCGATCACACCAACGTCGATTCCTGAGTTCTACACATGTGATCCCACATTGTGCGTGAAGTTA